GACTCTCGGCGGAGCAAGCGTGAGGGAAACTGGCGGAGCCACGTTCTACGGCGGACCATGCTCTGCGGACGGCGCGGCGGCTCCGAGGCGCGCTACAACTATCGCCAAACCTGTTAGAGCTAGCCGCTTCGAATGCCTCGAAACCTTCAAACCCCTCGGTACTTTCAAAATCCCCGAGATTTTCGAAAGGCGCGGAGTTCCGTTCTGTCGCAGACGCTGCTCTGCGGACGGCGCGACGACTGTGCGACGGCGGCGGGGCGCGCGGCGACGAGACAAGGTGAGAGGGTCGGGGGGACGACGCGCCATGAGGTGACGACACGAGGTGTCGGCTCAGACGAGAGCGAGGGGAGGGCGTGTGATGAGGTGGCGGCGACGCGGGCGGATGGGGCGAATGGGGAGGCGGATGGGGCGAATGGGGAGGCGGATGGGGTGAATGGGGAGGCGGATGGGGCGAATGGGGAGGCGGATGGGGCGAATGGGGCGAATGGGGCGAATGGGGTGCATGAGGCTGCTGTTGATACGCTTGTGCTGTTGCTGCTGCGCTACCCGCCCCTTCGAACGTTGAAAGCTCCACTTCTTCCCCTCCTCCCCGTCCCCCTCCGGCACTTCCTTCCCCTCTCCCTCCCCCTATCCCTCCCCCTCCCCTTCCGTCGCCTATGGTTTTTGTGCTTTCGCTGGTGCCCTTGGTACCGCCGGTACCGACGGCGTCGCCAGCGCTGCTTTTCTCATCCGACGTCGACCGCGAGCGGGGGAAGGGGAAAGGGTCGGCGGAAGCCCCGCGTAGGCAGAACACCTGTGGCGGAACCAGCGGCGCTGATCCTCCGTCCACCCGTATTTTTCGCGCGCGGACTGTACAAGCGGAGGAAACACCCGCCCACGTCTCCTGCGCTGCTGTCATCAGACGAGTAATCAGCGGCGGCGCCGGAGACGGCGGCGCTGATTTTCGTCACTGACTCCCCATTCTTTGCGCTTTTGCCGCCTGAGATTGCCGCACGCGCGCCTCCCTCGTCGCCTGCGCTTTTCTTATCGCTCGCGGCGCTTTCCGCGGCTGAGCATCCTCTGAGCGCCGGCGCAGGCTTCGCGGAAGCCGCCGCCGCCGCATCGTCGCGCCACTCCGCGTCCATCTCGAACGACGGCGCGGCTTTCCGCCGAACAACTTCCGCGTTCGGACTGCGCACGGCGGCGGAAGCCGCCACCGCCGCCGCAAAACCGGCTCCGCGGGGGCTCTCCTCCGGAACAACGAGATCCGCGAGATCGTGCGTACGAGCAGTAGAAGGTACCCGTACGATTCTGCGTGGCTTCTGCCGTACGACGTTCCCGGCCATGATAATGCCGCTCTTCTCGGTCAGTACTAGTAACCCTAATAGTCGCTCCCGGCGCTGGTAGCGGTATTAGCGGCGCTGCTAGAAGAAGAGAGGAGTTTCGAAGGCTTGAGCGTCTCGGCTGAGGCGCGCATATCACGGGCCGTGCGACGGCTGTATGGGCTGACTTTGAGTCAGAAGCCTGAACCACCCCACGTGATAGGAGAAAGGAATCACGTGGTGCTCGGGCCAGTGCGCGAGAAATGGAGGTGAAACTCTCCCGTCGTTCCCATATGCCCGAAGCAACTGCAGAACGACGGTGAATAGACGAGAGTAGCAGGATACACACTCCGTGTCGGTTGCCGCATTTGAAGCCCGTCGCGGCCGCTGCACGCCGCACGCCCGTTGACTATTGCCGTTGACATAGTGCGTCGACGACGGGATTGGCCAATCGCTAAGCCAACGAATGGCGTCACACGTATCGGATGTAATGCGATGCGAGGCATATGCGTTGACAAAACGGAATGCGGCGACGGCTTGAAGCGCCGCACGCTGTTTGTAAATCCGGACAGAGGCTGCGAAACGAGCAGCTATTTAGGTGGTGTGGCGAACTGGTACTGTAACACGACTCCACAGGTGCCCCTTTCACTCGAAGACCACCTTTGCTGGTCCGTTTCCCGTCTTGCATTTTGCTGCTCCTTTGCTCGCACTCACGTCAACCATCAGCAATTTGGGCCAGAATGCAGCAGTAAGGTTACCACTCACCCACAGTCCTTTCTTTCGGGTAGCCCCGCGAGCTGCTTGGGAAATTTTGGCTAGAATAATTCGCGGTAAAAAAATTGGGTGTTTTGTCGTGAATGTGTAGCTGTGAGCCGTTGTCTGGGAACTCTGACCACCACTGTTAGAGCGTGTTACGTACCCCTTATTTTGGGGCCTGGTCGCGGTTGCCTCGAACGGTCAGGTTGGGTTGAACGTAGGGTTACCAGATTACCCGAGAGTGTACAGTGTACAGAAAAGGAAGTGTGAACCAAGGCATGCGCACACTTGGTCGAGGCGACCATGCAGTCAACCAACCGGCTGGCCGCGTCCACATACAACCAGGTCGAGGCAACCAAGCCCCAACGTACCAGCCTGGTGGGCAACCGGGGGTTAACAAAAACTTTGCGGGCAGGTCGCACTAGAGAGACTCGACATGACTGGTGTAGAAACTTTTCCATTGAAGGTTGGCCAGTAATTTTGATGCAATGACTACTAGGTCTACCCGAAATACTATTTGCATGGTCGGGTCCCAAAAACAGACAGGTGGTACATTTGCAGGTTGCCTGCTTGGTACCCAACCGGTCAGATTTACTGCCCGGTCGACCCGAACAGTCAGGTTGGGTCGACTTTTTGAGGCAACCGGGACCCGCCACCAAATTAAGGGGTACGTAACACGCTTACTGATGGTTGTCTCTAGGTGGGAGTGATAATATGGGCGGTTTCGCGTGTATCAGAGTGACCAAACGGTTTGATTCGAGAATAACCGAGGGTAAAATTCTCACGGTTTGGGAAGATAGAAATGGAAATTCGGCAGCAGGGAGCTGAGACGGTCCTGGCATGTCATGACATGATCGGTTGGGATGTCTTGTTATGACGTCACATTCAGTTGGAACGGGTTGTTGTTGGGGGCGGCGAGGAGGGCGGGCGGGTAAGGGGTGGAGAGGGCAGGGGTTTGAGGGTGCAGTAAACGTTGGCTGTAAGTTGGGGGCGGTACAAGATAAAATTGGTAATGTACCCATTTGCCACTTATCTTTCCTGTGTGCTATCCCAAACTACGGTAACACTTGTCAACTAACACCAATCTCATATGCAGTATGGGGTGACTGAGCTGATATGACTGCGAAGCGTTTCCTTCCTGACATCCTTCCACATTACAGGTGTTTTTTTTCTACACTTTTGCTTCCTAAAGTTGTCTTGTCAGATACCTAGTTGATTTCCAACGAGAAACTCCATTCAGACTGAAAGCTCTTCCTTCTTTTGTCAAGTCAACCAATACCAAAGTCCGGAAAAGCTTCGCACGATTGAATTCGCCTCACACGCACCACCTGGTTGAACGAGACCTGCTTCTTCAGCCTGCCTCTCCCTCCCAACCCACTCCCACTCCCACACCCACTCCCACTCCCATTTCCATCCGCCAGCAACAAATACGACTTGACAGGGCTCTTCGGGGGGGAAGGATCTTCTTTTTCTGCCAACTCTCCTCCCTCCACCTGCGATACACCCGCCCTGACAGGTCTTTTTGACTGCAACACAAGAGGCCTACTCTTGTCAACCCCTTCAGGGCTGCTTACCTGCAAACCGGACCTTACGCCAAGCCTTGCATTTGCTCCTAACAGCCCATCCGGACTTCCATCAGTCTGTGAGCCTTCCAGAGGCATGGAGCCTTCACTATGCGACCTTGCGAAGTGCCGCATGTCTCGGCCCATTCTTATCAGGTGGCTTGCATCGTGGTGCATCTTTGTCCATTGCTGTGCTTTTGGCTCCCTTCCTGGATTGTCAACTGAGCAGGAGGCCCTAATGGAGGAGGAGGGGGAAAGCCTGGGGGAACGAGTGGGAAAGCGGGGGGGCTTGGATGGGGAGACAGAAGGGGGATTGGGGGAGGAGATGGGGAGGGTGGGGGAGGAGATGGGGAGGGTGGGGGAGGAGATGGGGAGGGCGGTGCAGGGGAAAGTGGGGGAATGGCAGAGGGAGGCAGGGGACTGGGAGGACGAGGTTGGCGACTCTGATTGGTTCGGGTGGATGGTAAGGGGAGGGGGGCGAGGAAAATTGGGAGGGGAAGGCTTGCGTTGGCAAGTTGGTGTTGTGGTGTTGCCAGCGAACGATTGTGAAGCGTTCCTAACAGGTGATTGGTTCTTCCCATCCAAGGACCCCCGCTTCCCCACTCGTCCCCCCACAAACTGCATTTTTGTAGGAACTCCCCTTGCTGCGCCTGCTGCGCCTTCCCCACCTTCCCGCTGCACTGGCCGCGGCGTCACGGCACCCACATCGTTCTCGTTACCATCGTCTTCAATATAGTCGCGTTTGCCATATTCGCCATTACCACAGTCGCCTTGACCAACATGGTCGCGCTGGCTATCTTTTAGATTCGCCTCGCAAAAAGACTCTTCTTGACAGTCGCCCTCCTTATTGTCGATTTGGTTATCGTGGCGGATGGTTCTGTTGCGGACAAGGGTAGCGGCAGCGGCGTGGGCATTCGTGAAGTGAGGCGAGTCGGAACGATTTCCGGAGGAAGGGGATGAGGCGGGGAAAGCGCGAGGGGATGGGGCGGGGAAAGCGCGAGGGGATGGGGCGGGGAAAGCGCGAGGGGATGAGGCGGGGAAAGCGCGAGGGGATGGGGCGGGGAAAGCGCGAGGGGATGGGGCGGGGAAAGCGCGAGGGGATGAGGCGGGGAAAGCGCGAGGGGACGTGGCGGGGAAAGCGCGAGGGGACGTGGCGGGGAAAGCGCGAGGGGACGTGGCGGGGAAAGCGCGAGGGGACGTGGCGGGGAAAGCGCGAGGGGCGGCGCGTTCTACCGTGGAATATGCTCTGCGAACGGTGCGGTTGCCCTGAGGCGCGGCGTGACTGCAATCATAGTGACTGCAACCATATCTGTACATACTATTAGAGGCTGCCCCTTCAAGAACCTCAAAATCCTCGAATCCCTCGGTATTGTCGAGATTCTCAAGTCTCAAGATTCGCGAGATTGTCGAAGGTCACGAAGTCGCGTTCTGTCGCCGACGCTGCTCTGCGAGCTGCGCGACGATTGTGCGAAGGCGGGGGGGCGAAGGTGCGATAACGAGGCGGCCCGGGGGTGCGAAGATGAGGCGACGAGGCGGCACGGAGACGAGCGAGTCGTGGTGACGAGATGAGGTGACGGGTGAGTCGAGAGCGCGGGGAGGGCTCTTGACCAGGTGATCGCGGCGACGCGGGCGGATGGGGCGCATGGGGCGGATGAGGCGACGCGGGTGAATGAGGCGACGCGGGCGGATGACGCGACGCGGGCGGATGAGGCGACGCGCGCGGATAGCGAGGTGAATACACGGTGAAGAGAGTGCGCGGGGCGGAAGAGGTGTTGGCGGGAGGAGTCGTCTCAGATTTGGCAGGCTGCTGCTGTTCCTGTTTTTGCGGAGATGCTGCTGCTGTTGCTGCTTCGCCACAAGCCACTTCGAATGGTGAAGGCTCTCCTCCGCCTCTCTCTCCCCCTCCCCCTCCCGCTCCCCCTCCCCCTCTCTTCCCCCCTCCCCCCCAATCACCAGTGTTTTCTGTCCTTCCGCTGGTGCCACAAGCGCCAGCGCCAGTGCGACAAGGAACCATCGTAGCTGTCGCCAGCGCCATGCCGTTAGTGCTAGTGCCATCGGAGCCGTCGCCGTCGCCAGTGCGACATGGAACTGTCGCCAGCACCATGGCGCTAGTGCTAGTGCCATCGGAGCCGCCGCCAGCGCCGCGTCGCTCATCCACATGCGACGTCGACCGCGAGCGGCGGAAGCGGAAATGGTCGGCGGAAGCTGCGCGCGCAGGCGGTCGAGCGCCTGTGGCGGAACCTGGTCGAACACCTGTGATCTTCCGTGCACCCGTAGCGATTTTCGCGCGCGGGCTGCGCAAGAGGCGGAAGCACCCGCCGACGTCCGCACCAGCGCTGCTGCCGTCAGATCCGCCGGCGGCGCTGCATTTCCCGAGGGCGCGGCATTTCCCGACGGCGCTGCTTCCGCCGCAGCGGCGCTGCTTTCCGTGACTGCCCTTTGCTCCATTGCCGCCCGACAGTGCGCTTGCGCCGTCTTTCTTGTCGCTTGCGCCTTCGTCAACTGAGCATCCTCTGAGCGCAGACTTCGCGGAAGCCGTCACCGCCGCATCGTCGCGCCACTGCGCGTCCATCTCGCGCGACGGCGCGGCTTTCCGCCGAACTACTTCCGCGTGCGGGCTGCTTACGACGGCGGAAGGCGTCACCGCCGCAACACCGGCTTCGCGGAGGCTGTCCTCGGAAACCTCGGGAACCACGAGATCGTAAGTATTGCGAGTAGCACCGGGTTTGAGATCGAACTTAGTGCCAGTAGTAGGTTTGTGATCGTGACTGCTACTAGCAGAAGGTTCATCTAGTACGAGTCTGCGTGGTTTCGGCGGCCGAACGAGGTCCCCAGCCATGGCGGCGCCGCTTCTCGGCCCGTACTAATATGAAGCAGCCGCCTTGCAGGACGGGAGAGAGGAAACCTCGTGACTGCTCGGGTCAGTGCGCGAGAAATGGAGGTGGAACGGATTTCGTCGCTGAGTATTACTACTAGCACTAGCAGTAGTAGATAGCGAGGATTTTGCTATCTGCGTGGTTTCAATGAAACGATATGAACGAAGTCTGACAGCGAACGGCATGCCGAAGCAACTGGAGGGTAATGGTCGACGGTGTCAATAAATACTCCCGAGTAAATGCGCGGAAAGTACCCCCGTTCGGTCGGTGCCCATTATTATGGGAGCAAGACACCCGCCCGTCGGGACAGTTCGCCGTTGCCATTGCGGCACGACGACGGGCCCTAGGGAGTCCCTAGGCTAGCGGCGTGGCACTAATCAGTGGAGCGATGCGATGCGCGGCAGATGCGGCAGTCTATCAATAGGATGCGGCGAAGCACTGGAGGCAAATAATCAACGGTACTAGATACTGCTCCGAGTAAATGCTCGGAAATTCCCTGTCGGGTTGCTGCAGTTGCCCGCCTGCCATGGCTGCTGCTTGCCGCCCGCCCGCCGCTGACATTTGCCGTTGACATTGTGGCAGAACGACTGGATTTGCAGCTGACTGAGCGGACTGAGCTAACGAATGGCGTGGCTCGAATTGGACGCGATTGGCGGCAAATGCGTTGAATGCAAGAGCCGCTTGTTCGCAGTATTAGTTCGCTGGGGACAGAGGGTGCGAGACGTAAAGCTATCTGCTCCACATGTAAAGCTGATGAAATAAAGAAGCGAGGTGGTGGCGAGGCGAAACGTGAGAGCCATAGCGACAAGGAATGTGCTGGTTCGAGTCGAGAGGGAGGTGAGGAGGACGGGGAAGATATTTCTGGAGATGAGGCGACAGGGAACACGGTAGGGAGGAGAAAAGAGGGGGTGGAATGGGGTGAGGTAGGGTGGGGAGTGGGACTGAGACGAGAAAGAGCATGTAAGATTTGAGAGAGAAGATCACGACGGTCGATTGGGCGCGGGCGTGGGGGGTGACGTGGAACAAGAAGATGATGGAGGGGCGGCGAGCAGAGGGTGCGGGGCGGGCGGGTGAGGTGCGGAAGGGGCTGCAGGTTGGGGGTGCTACGGCGAGCTAGCAGCGCATTTGCTTACAGATCATACTGTGCGGTTTCTCTCTTTGCGTCACGGTTCTAAACAGTGAACTGTATCAGTGTGATGGACGAAGACTTGGGGCTAACTTTTGAACACAATACATTACCGACCCACATTTAACACTTTCCCTCTAAAAAGTTCACGGCCATTCTTGTAAGCAGTGTTGGATAATGCAGCACACCTGGTGACTTCCTTGCACATGAATATTTCCAAAAAAATGCTTCTGGAAGTGCAACCTGATATCTCAACAAGCAGCTCTGCACTGCCGAAATCTCATTGTTACGTCAACCCAGGCCAAAGTCTGGAAAAGCTTCGCATGATTGAAATCGGCGAATACGAACCACCTTGTTGAATGAAACCTGCTTCTTCAGCCTGCCGCTCCCTCCCAACCCACCCCCACTCCCACTCGCATCCGCCAGCAACAAACACGACTTGACAGGGCTCTTAGGAGGAAAGGAACTTTCTGTTTCTGCGGACTCACTTCCCTCCACCAGCAATACTCCCGACCTGACAGGGCTCTTTAGCGGCGACACAAGAGGCCTCCTCCTGTCAACACCTCCAGGCCTCCTTACCTGTGCAGCAGACTGTGTGCCTTCAAGTGGGAATAACAGCCCATCCGGACTTCCGGCCTGTGTGCCTTCTAAGGGGATGCAATCGTTACTCTGCGACCTTGCAAAGTGGTGTGTATTTTGGTGCATCTTTGCCCATTGCTGTGCACCTCCCTCCCCTCCTGGAATGTCAACAGAGTGGGAGGCCCGGAGGGATGAAGAGGGGAAGGTCCGGATGGAGGAGGAGGGGGAAAGCTTGGGGGAACGAGTGGGGAAGCGCGGGGGCTTGGACGGGGAGACTGACGGGGGTTTTGGGGAGGAGATGGGGAGGGTGGGGCAAGGGAAAGTGGGGGAATGGCAGAGGGAGGCGGGAGACTGGGAGGACGAGGTTGCAGAGTCTGGTAAATCAGGGTGTATGGTAAGGGGAGGAGGGCGGCGGGTGAAGTTGGGTGAAGTTGAAGGCTGGTTTTGTTGGTTAGTTGGTGTAGTGCTGCTGACAAAGGACGATCCTGGAACGATTTTGCAAGTTGGTGATTTCCTCCCACCCAACAGTTCCCCTCCAGACTGCTCCTCTGTGGAAACTCCCCTTGCTGCTGCGCATTCGCGCCGCCAGTGCTGCTGCACTGGCCACGCCGTCACAACTCCGTCATCGTCATCGTTAGCGTTATACTCGTCACGGTTAGCAGCGGCCAACGAGTCGCGCCAAGCGCCAGATGCGCCGCGCTCTATGGTGGATGTCGCGGAGTCGCGTTCTATGACGGACCATGCTCTGCGGACGGCGCGGCTGCTCCGAGGCGCCTCGAAATTCTTGAATCCCTTTGCGGACGGCACGGTGCTGTTACTTGTAATATAGCCGTTACTTGAAGTATAGCCGTACCCGCTACTAGAGCCTGTTGCTTCGAGGGCCTCAAAATCCGCCTCGAATCCCTCAAAGTCCTCTACATTTCCGAGATTCTCGAAAGTCGCGAAGTCCCGTTCTGTCACAGACGCTGCTCTGCGAGCGGTGCGACGATTGCCAGTGCTCATCGCAGCGCGCTCCGTGCGACGATTGCTAACGCTTGCTTCTAGACCCTCTAACGCGTCCAAAGCCTTGAGGTCCCGTTCCGACACAGACGCTGCTCTGCGGGCGGCGCGACGGTCGTGCGAAGGCGGCGGAGCAGGCGCACCGACTCGGAGGGCGCGATGGCGAGGCGACGAGATGGAGAGGAAGCGCGCGAGTCGCGGTGAGGAGACGGCGATGACGGGTGGGCGGGGCGAATGGGGCGCATGGGGCGCATGGGGAGAATGGGGCGGATAGCGAGGAGAAGACGCCACGGCGGCAAGATGAGGCGATGCGGAAGAGGTGTTGGCGGGAGAAGAGGATTCCCGCCAAGAAGGGGAGGATTCCCGTTTGTGCCGAGATGCTGCTGGTGCTGTTGCTGCTTCGCCACCCGCCCCTTCGAATGACGAAAGCTCCCCTCCTACTCCTCCCCCCTCTTCCCTTCTCCCTCTCCCTTCCTCTCGCCCGCCGTCGCCTTTGTTTTCTGTACCTCCGCTGATGCCCTCGGTATCGCCGGTGCCGCGTCGCTCATCCAAGTACGACGTCGATTGTGACCGGCGGAAGCGGAAATGGTCGGCGGAAGCCCCGCGCACAGGCGGCCGAACACCTGAGGCGGAGCCCGGTCGAACACCTGAGGCGGAACCCGGTCGAACACCTGAGGCGGAACCCGGTCGAACACCTGTGGCGGAACCGGGTCGAACACCTGTGGCGGAACACGCGGCGCTTGTCTTGCGCGCACTTGTAGAGGTTTTCGCGCGCGGGTTGCGCAAGAAAAGGAAACACCCGCCGACGTCCGCGCTGGCGTTGCTGTCGTCAGATCGGTAACCGCCGGCAGCGCTGCATTTCCCGACGGCGGCGCTGCTTCCGCGGCGGCGGTGCTGCTTTCCGTGACTGCCCTTTGCGCCATTGCCGCCCGATATTGCGCTTGCGCCGTCTTTCTTGTCGCCCCCGCCTTTCTTGCCGCCTCCGCCTTTCTTAACAATTGCGCCTTCTGTAGCTGAACATCCGCTGCGCGCAGACTTCGCGGAAGCCGCCACCGCCGCATCGTCGCGCCACTGCGCGTCCATCTCGAGCGACGGCGCGACTTTCCGCCGAACAACTTCCGCATGCGGGCTGCGCACGGCGGAAAAACTGGTTCCGCGGGGGGTTTCCACCGGAATCACAAGTTCCGCGAGATCTTCGACGAGGTCGTACCTATTTGAAGCAGCAGTAGTAAGAACGTTATCGTGACTGCTACCAGTAGGCTCGTGATCCCCGCTACCAGCAGCAGGTACTACTAGCACGAGTCTGCGTGGTTATTGTCGAACGACGTTTCCGGCCATGGCGATGCCGCCCTTCTCGGTCAATGTTACCCTTAGTCGTTTCCCGCGTCGCCGGTAGTAGCGGCAATGTCAGAAGAAGATAGGAGTCTTCGAGGCTTGAGCGACTCAAAGACGCGCCTATCACGGGTCGTCCAAAGGCTGCATGAGCTGACTTGAAGTCAGAGGCTTGAGCCACCTCGCATGACGAGAGGAGAGGAAGACTCGAGTCGGGCCGTCCAACGGTTGCATGAGCGGGTTCAAGTCAGAAGCTCAAGGCACCTCGCATGGCGAGAAAGAGGAAGACTCGTGACGGCTCGGGCGAGTTCGCGAGAAATGGAGACGGAGCTTATTTGGTCGCTCAGTAGAACTTGAACTACTGGCAGAAATGGAGACGGAACCTATCTTGTCGAGATTTTGCTACCTGCGTAGTTCCGCCAGGAAATCTCACGATGAACGGAATCCTGAAGCGACTGGAGGTAAATAGTCGCTGACGGTGACAGGAAAGGCTGCGATTCTCGACGGGAGCCCCCGTCGGTTGCCACGATTGCCGCCCGTCATTGCAGCTGCACACCGTCGGCTGCCCGTTGACAATTGCCGTTGACATTGTGGCTCGACGACGGGATTGGTCGCTGACTAAGCCAACAAATGATGGCGTGACAGCGATGTGAAGCGATGCGATGCAATGCGATGCGTCGCGGATGCGTTGAACAACAAAAACGAATGCGCTGGCAGAGACCTCAAGCTCCCCACGTTGAACGTGTTACTCGTTTCGTTTGGGACAGAGTCAGCGAGACGAGCAGTTTTTAGCTCCTGTCCAGATCTAAAGCTGATGAGGAAAGAGGTGAACTGGTGGCGGAACGTGAGGGCTGGAGCGACAAGGAATGGACTGGTTCGAGTCGAGCGAGGAAAGGAGGACGGGGAAGATATTTCTGGAGATGTGGCGACAGTGAACACAAGGGCCTTGTTCGGTAGACCGCCTAGTCGGGTTGCGGATGGGTCAGGGCAGGTGTTACATGCTTAAAACCCATAAACTCGTTAGTAGAACACCGAACCTACCCAGTGAGAGTTTGTTACCGAACGCCTCACTTTTTCAGTCTGGGAACTGGCCGTGACGAAGCTGGAGAAGAACTTCCTTCTCCTGGCAAAAACCTGTCCGAGTCCAGTTCGGGGTCCCCCCCTGTAATGGGCTATCACCAGTACGAGTGACAGCGGGGGTGTACCGCTGTTTTCGCAAGTTGTGAAGGTACTTCGTTGTTGTCTCGAAATTCCACGATACCAAACACGAAGGTGTCTTCAGTGTGAGTTGAGGCCCGAGGCTAGGAAGCCTCACGAAGGGTTCGCCAGTGCGAGTGGGCCCACTCGCACTGGGTGCCTACCGAACAAGGCCAAGATTGGGTTGGGAGGAGAGAAGAAATGACGGGGGTGGGCGTGGGACAAGACGAGATAGAGGCCCTACTGATTGGGATTTGTTGAGAAAGATAACGGTAGGTTAAGATGGGTGCAAGGTGGCGATGGGACAAGATGGAAAGGATAGTCCTGTCCTGGGGCGGCGAAGAGGGGGTGCGGGGCGGGCGGGTGAGGTGTGGAAGGGGCGGCGGGTTGGGGATGCTAACGGCGAGCAGTCTGTTTATAATTCATTCAGTGCGGTTCCTCTAGTTAAGACACGGTTTTTAACGGTAACATCTTGTAACCGCTGTACAGCGTGTGGTATCGTTCCGTGCCACGATGCACGAGCGTGATGCACAAGAGCGCTGACTTCGTGCTCACATTTGAACACAATACGGTAAAGTACGGTGCTCTATAAGGCATTCATTTAACATTTTATTCGTAAATAAACAACAAACCATTTTGAGCAGTATTGGAGAAGACAGCATACCGTACATGCTGACATCACTGCACCCCTTTAAAACAATAAATGCTGGAGTGCAGTTTAGAACGCTTCTTGTCACGTCACCCCAGGCCAAAGTCCGGAAAAGCTTCGCACGAATGAAACCGCCTCACACGCACCACTTTGTTGAACGAAACCTGCTTTTTCAGCCTGCCTCTCCCTCCAAACCCACTCCCACTTCCATTCCCACTCCCACCCCCATCCGGAAGCGACAGACACGATTTCACAGGGCTCTTAGGAGGAAAGGGACTTAGCATGTCTACCGACTCATGCCCATCCGCATTACCTTCCTGGCTCCTGCCAGCTCTCCCTCCTGTCTCACCACCAAGCCTTGCATTTGCCCTGGCTCCTAACAAGCCATCATGGCTTTCGGGCCCTGTGCCTTGCAGCGGAATGCAGCCTTCACTGTGCGACCTCGTGAAGTGCCGAGTGTCCTGGAGCATTCTAACATACTGAGACGTGTCAACATGCGACCTTGTGAAATGCAGTGCATCTTGGTCAGCTTTTATCAAGTGGTGTGACTCATGCTCCGGCCTCATCAACTCGTGCCCATCCGCATCCCGGTCTATCCTTGTCAAGTGTTGTATTTCTTGCTCCACTCTCGGGATGCGTGGGACGGAGAGAGGCCGGAGCAGCAACGAATGGGCCCGGGGCACAAGTCCCTCCCTTTGCCCACCACCACTACCAACTCCCTCTCTCGCTCTCTGTGTAGCTTGCTCCACTCTCGGGCTGCGTGGGACTGAGAGAGGTCGGAGCAGCGAAGAGTGGGTCCGAGGCACAACTCCCTCTTGTTGCCCATCATCACCACTGCCAACCCCTTCTCTTCGTCTTCCACCACCACTGTTACCCCCCTCTCCCCCACTCTCGCCTCCACGCGGATTCCCTTCCTGAGGCTGCCCCGGAATTTCAGAATCCAAGGAAAGAGAGTTGGAATCGCCCCTCGCTCCCCAGCCAAATCCATCCCGCAGGGTTGGGCTCGGTAGCAGCACTACCTCTCCCTCTTCCCCCAGACTCTCCCCTCCGGGATGGTCAGTAGAATCGAGGGCTTCGATGGAGGAAGAGGGGGAAGACTTGGGGGAACGTGTGGGTAAGAGGGTTGGGCTCTGTAGCAACACTACCTCCCCGTCTTCCCCAAGCCTCTCCCGTCCAGTATGGTCAGCAGGGTAGGAGGCTGCAACAGAGGAAGAGGGGGAAATTCGGGGGAACGAATGGGGACTCGGGGGGGCTTGGATGGGGAGATGGGGGGAAGATTGGCGGAAGGCTCAGGGGGGACGAGGCAAGGGAAGGTGGGGGAAAGGCAGGGGGAGGCGGGGGACTGGGGGGAAGAGGTGGAAGGTTCTGGTTGAGCCTGGGGTGTGGTAAGGGGAGGGGGACGGCGGGGGAGGTTGGATGGGGAGGACTTGTGTTGGCGGAATGGCGGGGGGGAGGGGGAAGGCAGGGGCGCATGGGGGGAGGTCGGGGGGGCTGGGGTGGAGGGGGAAGCGGTGGGGGAAGGGGAGCGGGAAGGGGAGAGGGAAAAGGAGGGGGAGCGGGATACGGCACGGGGTTTGCTTGGGGAGCAGCTGGGGGCTATACTGGCTGTACAGGGTACGGACTTGGAACGGGTTATGGCGGAAAGGGAAGTGGCGGAAGGCGGAGTGGCGGAAGGGGAAGGGGAAGTGGTGGGTTGTGTGGGGGTCCCAGGTCTGCGGAGCTTGCAAGGGGACCTCTCAACATACCTGCAAGAACCTGCCTCGAAAGAACCTGCCTCGAAACCCTCAAAACCCTTGAAAGCTCCCAAATCGCGTTCTGTCTCAGAGCCTGCTCTGCGGGGAGTGCGGTGATTGCCATTTATAACAGCGCGCTCAGCGTGATGATTGCCAGAGCTTCCTTCTAGACTCCCCAACGCATCAAATGTTTTGGAGTCGCGTTCTGTCACGGAGCCTGCTCTGCGGGCGGTGCGATGATGATTGCGCTCAGTTTGATTGCTCACGCTTGCTTCGAAAGCCTCTAACGATTTGAGGGTCTGGAAATCGCGCTCTGACACAGACATGGATCTACGGGCGGCGCGGTGATGACGATTGCGCGCAGATCGATTCTCAAGACTTGCTTCCAAGCCCTCTAACGCCTTGAAATCGCGCTCCGATACAGACGCGGTTCTACGCGCGGTGCGACGGTGGTGACTGTGTGCAGCAGCGGAGGCGCGAGGAGGGGAGGAGACGAGGAGTCGGTCTAATCGTGGCGACGAGGCAACACGGCGAGTCAGGGCAGATCGGGGGGAAGGCGCGTGATGAGGGGACCGCGACGCGGGCGGATGCGGCTTGGGAGATTGGGGCGGACGGGGGGAATGGGGCGGACGGGGGGAATGGGGCGGACAGGGGGAATGGGGCGGACGGGGGGAACGGGACGGATTGGGGGAATGGGGGGGATGGCGCGGAGAAGAGCTTTGCTGCTTCTGAGGCTTCTGAGGCGCCTCGATAAAGGCGCGCGGACGGCGAGAAGATGACGCGGCAGCGGCGGGAAGCTGAGGCGCGGCGGAAGACCCACTGGCGGCGCCCGGGGAAGCGCGGGGAGGAGCACGGGGGGAAGCACGCGGGGAAGCGCGGGGGGAAGCTCAGGGGGAAGCGCGGGGGGAAGCGCGGGGGCAAGCGCGGGGGGAAGGCTTTTGCCGAGCTGACAGCGCGGCGGCTGCTGTTGTTGCGGCTTCGCCCGTGATTTTACAACCGCTGGTGCCGCCGCTGCTACCTCTACTACCGTCGCCCGCGGCGCCGCTTTTGCCTTGGCCGTTGCTCCTGCCGCTGCTGCCGCTACCGCCCTCGATAATATTACCAATATCGCCAGCGCGGCTCGTCTCGCGAGGAGATCTCGCGTCCGAGCGCGACCGCGAGCGCGTGATGCAGAAGAGGTCGGCGGAAGGTCCGCCGCGCGCAGGCGGCGTAACGCCTGTGGCCGCTGCGGAACCGGCTGCGGCGCTTAGTGTCTTGCGCGCGGTCGCCGCGGCATTTTTCCCGCCTTGGTGGCCGAAGCGCAAGAGCGGGAAGCATCCGCCGCCAACGTCCCCGCAGCGGCTGTCCTCATCAGACGAGTAACCAGCGCCGGCGCTGCCACCGGCGGCGCTGATTTCCGCCGCGACTGACTCCCCGTCGTCCTTTGCGCCCTCGTCGCCTAGAAATCCGCTTCTGTCTTCCTTCAAGTTGCGGCTTCCGCGTTCGCCTGCGCTTTCCTCGCGGCTTCCGCCCACGCTTGCTCCTTCCTTGTCCCCCGAGCTTTCCGCGGCGCGTTCGCGGGGCGGAGGTTCAGCGGAAGCCGCGTCGCCCCATTCCGCGTCCATCTCGAGCGACAAAGCGGCTTTCCTCCGAACGGCTTCCGCGTTCGGACTGCGCACGGCGGCGGAAGCCGCCACCGCCGCCGCAAAACCAGCTCCACGGGGGGATTCCACCCGAACCACGAGACTAGGCAACGTAAGTCCGCGCGCCTTCCGCGGAACGACGTCCCCAGCGGCGGCGCCATGCAGGCTGCGCGGTGTGGCTTCGGAAAGCAGTGGCGGAAGCCAGGGGGACGCCGCCGCGCCGATCTCCGCCGCTGACGACGGCGTCGTGCTCCTGGTTCCGCTCTCCAAGCGGCATTCGGCGGTGCGCGGACGCGAAGGCGCCACGCCACTGGCCGCAGATCCATGGCGCCTTGGAATCAGGATGATGTCACTTGTACTTTCAGCAGCAGTAGTAGTATCATCTCTACCAGCGACGGTGACGTCACCCATCGCAGGAGCCATGATGATGATGACGTTGATGATCCTCTTCTCGCCGAGTTCTACCCCTTGGTCGTAGTAGCTCGCAGTGACGCCGCCGCGGCTGCTAACAACGCCGCTGCTGGAAGAAGTAAGGCGTATGCGAGGCCGCGTGAGCGTCTCCGAGGCGCGCATTGACGGGTGTCACGAGCCGTGCCGCGTGCGCCGAAGCATGATGTTGCCGCTTGAGCTGGGCCCAAATAAACAGCTTCAGCCAACTCGACGCGGCGCGACGACGATGCGCGAGATAGGCCAACGTCAAAAGCTCGAGCCACGGGTGCGACGCGCCCTTCTCGGAAGAATGACGGTGGCTCGGTTGCTGAATCCCAGTTCCGCATAGCACGAGAAACCTAGCTGGCAATTGCTGTCAGATCTAGTACTAGAAGGCTAGTCCAAAATGCTGCGAGCGGCAGTGGCTGCTGGGTAGTAAGATGCTATCTGCGTGGGTCCGTTGGGAGATATCTCAATGACATGATGAGGGAGAAACTCGAGGTAAATAGTCGACACCGGTAGCGGGGGTGATTACTCCCGCGGAAGCTCCACGCCACTCGCCGAGGCCGACGCTGGTGGCGGGGGGGATCAGATTCGCGCCAGGGGGGGGTTTTCTCGCGGCAACTGCGCGCTCGCCTCTGCTCGCCGCCGATAGACATATCGATCTGCGTTGGTGGAGTGATGCTGTGTGGATGGAATTGGTCGGCGAATGCCATCCCTGCACCAAGCGACGACGATTCGATGCGATGCGCCGGGGGCTTGAGCGACTGCCAACATGCGTTACATAAGATTATCTAGGACTACTGTACACCTGATGCCTGTTTGAGCCCCTCCCGGTTGCCTTATGAAGGGGGCGTATAAGCTGTCACGAGCATTTCGCATAGGTTTCGTCAATTCGCAGCTAGCTGAAAAAGATTCGCATGTGCTTATAAACAAGATCTGTAACCTAGTTTGACTTCAGTCTCTTCTGCTTGACTTCGGTCTGTACCTAGTTTGACTTCGGTCTGTTCGTTACTATTGGTTGATAACCACGCGACGCGCTTGTAATGTAGGTGCATGAGGCTGGGGAAACAACCTCGGGTGCAGCGTATCCATCCGGCGCAAGGCAAATTCGCGTGCATGGGGTGAGCATCAGCTGTATGTACAGAGCGAATGCAGCGGCGACTTGAAAAGATTTACAGAGCATGTTGGTCGTGGTAGCTGTTTCGTACGGGACAGTCACCGCGAGGCAAGTGTGACGTGTATTTATTTATTCTTGAGGGGGCGGTTGAGAGGGAGAGGGTGAGGCGAGGGCGAGGGGCGGGTGGGGCAAGGTGCGACGCGAGTGACAACGCCAGAACGGTCTCCCAGGGAATGCACGATGATTGTGTTCGGTTCTGTGCGGTTTATCTCCTTGCGAACGGTGAAGCCTGGCAACCGTTGTGCACCGTGTGGTATCGTTTTGTGATGGAGGAGCGTGCTGACTTCGAGAGTTCTAACTTTCTAACACAATACGGTACGGTATGGGTGTTCTATAAGGCAAACTTAAAAAAACTTGAATTGGAAAGACAGATACAAGCATTTTATGCATTTTCTCTATAGCAAATGGACAGCCATACTTGTATTGGATACAATATCACACTTGCGGGCATCCTTGCACATTTCTCCACAGTAAATGCTTCTGGAAGTGAAACTTCATATCTCAACAAGAAGATCCATAGCCCGCGTCAACCGAGGCCAAAGTCTGGAAAAGCTTCGCACGAGTGAAACCGGCGAATACGAACCACCTTGTTGAATGATACCTGCTTTTTCAGTCTCCCTCTCCCTCCCAACCCGCTCCCACTCCCACTCCCACTCCCATCCTGCAGCGATAAACACGACTTCACAGGGCTCTTAGGGGGAAAGGGACTTAGCATGTCTACCAACTCTTGCCCATCCGCATCCCCTTCCTGCATCCTGCCTGCTCTCCCTCCTGCCTCACCACCATGCCTTGCATTTGTACCGGCTCTTAACCGCTCATCTGGGGATTCAGGGCTTCCGATATGTGCGCCTTGCAGTGGGAGGCACCCTTCACTGTGCGACCTTGTAAAGTGCCGCGTGTCCTGGCTGTGGGCCACTCTAATGTGTTGCGACGCCTCAACATGCGACCTTGTGAAGTGCCGTGAGCCTTGGTCAATTCTCATGTGTTGCGACTCCTCCTCAACGTGCGACCTTGAAAAGTGCAGTGCGTCGCGGTCAATTTTCATCAAGTGGTGTGAGTCATGCTCGTCCGACCTCATCAACTCATGACCATCTTGGCCTATCCCCATCAACTGTTGTCCGTCTTGGTCTATTCCCATTGGCTGCTGCGAATCTTGCTCCACTCTCGGACTGCGTGGGACCGAGAGAGGCCGGAGCACTGACGAGTGGGCCCGAGGCACAAGTCCCTCCCTTCGCCCATCACCACCACTGCCAACTCCCTCTCTCCGCCTTCCACCACCACTGTTATCCCCCTCTCCCCCACTCTCGTTTCCACTCAGATCCCGGGATTCCCCGTCCTGAGGCTGCCCCGAAATTTCAGAATCTAAGAAAAGAAATTTGGAGCTGCCCGTCTTTCTCCTGCCAAATCCGTTCCTCAGGGTTGGGCTCGGTAGCAGCATTACCTCTCCCTCTTCCCCCAGCCTCTCCCCCCCTGGACTGCCAGCAGGACAGGAGGCCCCCACAGAGGACAGGAAGTTGAAACTGTCCGTCTTTCCCCTGCTAAATCCGTTTCTTAGGGTTGGGCTCGGTAGCAGCTCTACCTCTCCCTCTTCCCCCAGCCTCTCCCCTCCAGAAGAGTCAGCAGCAGGGGAAGCTCCCACAGAGGAAGAGGGGGAAATCTTGGGGGAACGTGTGGGGAAGCGGGGGGGTTTGGATGGCGAGATGGGGGGGAGATTGGCGGAAGGGTCTGGTTGAGTCGGGGGTGTGGTAAGGGGAGGGGGACGGGGGAAACCGGACGGGGGGGGCTTGTGTTGGCGGAATGGCGGGGGGGAAGGGGAAGGCAGGGACGCACGGGGGGAGGTCGGGGGGGCTAGGGTGGAGGGGGGAGCGGTGGGGGAAGGGGAGCGAGAAGTTGAGAGGGAAAAGGAGGGGGAAGGGGATGTGGCAGGGGATTTTCTAGGGGCACAGCTGCGTACGCTCCCAGGGGCGGACTTGGAACGGGCCACAGGGGGAGCAAGGGGAGTGGCGGAAGGGGAAAAGGCGGGAGGAGGAGTGGCGGAAGGGGGAGTGGCGGAAGGGGGAGTGGCGGATGGGGGAGTGGCGGACCCAAAGGCAGAGCTGCGTACGCTCCCAGGGGCGGACTTGGAACGGGCCACCGGGGCAATGGGAGTGGCGGAGGGGGGAGTGGCAGAAGGGGGAGTGGCGGAAGGGGGAGTGGCGGAAGGGGGAGTGGAGGAAGGGGGAGTGGCGGATCCAGGGGCACAGCTGCGTACGCTCCCAGGGGCGGACTTGGAACGAGTTATGGCGGAAAGGGGAGAGGCGGAAGGGGAAGTGGCGGAAGGGGGAGTGGCGGAAGGGGGATTGGCGGAAGGGGGAGTGGCGGAAGGGGGAGTGGCGGAAGGGGGAGTGAGGGAAGGGGGAGTGGCGGAACGGGAAGTTAACCTCGCATCATGCTTGCTACAACCTGCTTCGAATTCTTTGAAAGCTTTAAAAGCCCCGGAATCGCGTTCTATCACGGACCCTGCTCGGCGGTGATTCCTGCCAGTAATAGCAGCAGCGCACTCGGTGCCATTGCCAGGGCTTGCCTCTGAGCCCTCTAACGAATCGAAAGCGCCAGAAACGCGTTCCGTGACGGACCCTGCTCGGCGGGCGGCGCGGTGATTCCTGCCAGTCATAGCAGCAGTGCGCTCAGAGCGATTGCTAGCGCTTGCCTCGGAACCCTCTAGCGAATCAAAAGCCCCGGAATCGCGTTCTATCACGGAGCCTGCTCTACGGGCGATGCGATGCTGATTGCCAATGCCGCCCATCGCAGTGCGCTCAGTGCACTCAGTGCGGTCACTAATGCCTGCCGCTGAGCCCTCTAATGCCTCGAAGGCTCCAGAGCCGCGTTCTGTCACAGAACCTGCTCTGCGTGCGACGCGGTGATGACTGCCAGTCACGGCACTGCGCTCAGTGTGGTCGCTAACGCCTCTAACGCCGCTAGCGCTCACCGCTGCACCCTCTAACGCCTCCAAGGACCTGAAATCTCGTTCTGACGCGGACGCAGCTCTACGGGCGGTGCGATGGTGGCCGTGCGCGGACGGCTGACTAGCTGGAGCATGCGGAGCAGTGGAGAAGAGGAGGAGCCGGGTGAGTCGCGGGGACGGCGCATGGCGAGGCGACGGTGACGCGGGTGGATGGGGTGAATGGGGAGCGTTGGGAGCATGATGAGGCTGCGAAGTATGGGGCGCATGAAACGGAGACAACATTGCAAGCAGATGCGGAGAGGGGGAAGAGTCGCTGGCGGCGGGAGAAGAAGAGGGGAGCTTTTGCCGACCCGCCAGCGCCGCTGCTGCTGCTGTCCCTTTCCCTTCGAACAAAATTTCTGCTCCTTTTTCCCCTCCGCCCCCCCTTCCGTCGCCAATGCTCGTACTACCGCCATCGCCAGCGCGGCTCGTCTCGCGAAAACCTCTCTCGTCCGAGTGCGACCGCGAGCGGCCGTCGCGCACGCGGAAGAGGTCGGCGGAAGGTCCGCCGCGCGTAGGCGGCGGCGGAACACCCGTGACCGCCGCGGAACCAGCAGCAGAACCAGCCCGGGAACCGGCGGCGCTTATTATCTTTCGCCCACCCATAGCATTTTCCCCTCGCGGGCTGCACAAGAGCAGGAAACATCCGCCGCCACCGTCCTCGCCGCGGCGGCTCTCGTCAGACGAGTAACCGGCGGCGGCGGCAGCGGCTGCGGTGCTTTTCGCGACGACTAGTTCCCGATTATCCTTTGCGCCATCGCCGCCTGAAATGGCTGCGCTTGCCCCTTCCTTGCGCCGCATTCGTTTCCGCGGCCTTCCTTGCTGCTTGAGCTTTCCGCGGCGCGTCCGCGGATCGCAGGCTCCGCGGCGGAAGCCGCCGCCGCATCGACGCGCCACTCCGCGTCCATCTCGAGCGACGGCGCGGCTCTCCGCCGAACAGCTTCCGCGTTCGGGCTGCGCACGGCGGCGGAAGCCGGCAACACCGCCGCAAAACCGGCGCCGCCTCCCCGGGGGGGTTCTTCCTGAAGCACCAGACTAGGCACCGTCAGTCCGCCGGCTGTGGCGTGCGGGATGCGTGGTGCGGCTTCGCAAAGCAGTGGCGGAAGCCAGGGGGACGCCGCCGCGCCGATCTCCGCGGCAGCTGACGATGGCGTCGTGATCATGGTTCCGCTATCGATGCGGCATTCGGCGGTGCGCGGACGCGACGGCGCTGCGCCATTGGCGGCAGATCGACGGATAGAATCGCCGCCGCATCTGTCGGTGTGGGAGCGAGGTCGAGTCGGCGAGTTCATCGCGCCGCCGCCCGAGTCGCCGATGCTGGAACAGCAAAACGAGTCGGGGTGGGTTACGGTATCACCCGCAGAACAAGACCGGCTCCGAGCCGCATTATTGCGTCTCGGTGTCACAATGAGGTCACTTGCACTTTTAGCAGTTGCGGTTGTAGTAATACCATCACTACCAGCAGCGGTACCCATCGCAGGAACCATGACGATGCTGCTAACAAATATCCTCCTCCGCCGAATAGTACTCTCCCGCTGTTAGCTCGCGCTGGCGCCGCTGTTAGCGAACGCCGCTGTTGGCGAACGCCGCTGTTGGCGAACGCCGCTGTTGGCGAATGCCGCTGTTGGCGAACGCCGCTGTTGGCGAACGCCGCTGCTGAAAGAAGTAGGAGTCTGCGAGACGTCTCCGAGGCGCGCGGCGGCGGCGGGTCTCACGGGGCGTGCAGCGTGCACCGATGCAATAGGACGCGTGATCTGGACTCAAGTCAAAACGCGCCACGATGATGGGTGAGAGAAACTGCGACTGCTCGGGATTCCTGCTGAGCATTCCGCGAATAGTACATCAGCGGAGAGCGTCTCAAAGTGACTTGCCGCCAACGTGAGACCTATTTCCGCGCCAAGAATCGCTGTCACATCTACTGCTAGCGGCAGAGGCTGCTGGGTGTCTCGAGTGTATCGAGTCTCGATCCCTGCGTGGAACGAAATGACTCCGTCCGCAGATATCTCGATGAACGAAATGACGCAGGAGCACCTTGAGAAAAATAGTCGACGACGGTAGCAGGGGGGATTACTCTCGCGCGGCCCCGCGCTACTTGTCGAGGATGAAGCCGTAGAAAGGGAGATCAATCTCGAACCAAGGGGGAAGTTCTTCTCGTGCCAAGGGGGGATCATTTCTCGCGTCAGGGGGGGTATTCTCGCGCCAAGGGGGACTATTCTCGAGCCAGGGGAGGATTTTCTCGCAGCAACTGCACGCTTCGCTCGGCTCGCCGCCGATAGACACGCCGATCGCCGTGGTGTGTGGACGGGATTGGCGGATAACGAAATCCATTCCCACATGCGACGGTTCAATGCGATGCGCTGGAAACTGCGATCAGTGCGTATAGTAGATACTGTAATCTAAGATACACAGATGGGAAGGAGCAGCAACTTGAAAATCTAAGCCTTGGTCGTGGAAACCGCTTCGTAGGGGACTGTGGCTGAAAGACGAGCGAGACAAAAAGAATTCTTGGGGGCGGTAGAGTGGACTTGAAGAAGGAGGGGGAGAGGATGAGGACAAGAAGGTGTGAGCGAGAGCGACGGAGGCACGGTCTAGCGGGGAGGATTGAAAGAAGCTCGTGAGAGGTGGTGGTGGTGTGAGGTGAGCGAGCATAGCGGAAGGGGTTCAAGTGTGGCAGCAACAGCAAGGGGCACAGAAGATCGGGGCGGGGGTCGGGCGGGTGTACAAGGGGTGAGAGGGGGGCTGTCGTTTCGTTTCGGTCCAGCGTGCCAGCTGGCAGGGTAATGGCGTTTAGCGTTTCCACTATTAGTGTAAATTCACTATTGAGAATTCTCTAAGTGTTTTCCTGTGTAAGTGTGAGCAGTGAGAAGTCACTATCAATTAGTGTAACACTTTCTTTACTGCTCACCTCAACAAAGCATACAAGACCAACCATTTCTCCTCCATTACTGCTTAACACTGGAGAAGGGACGTGGCAACGTGGAGTGACTAGTATGTGTCAACTACACTATATTTGCACACATCCTTCCACAGGTGCCTCCTTCACACTACGGTAAATGCTTTCAGGAGTACAATACAACTTGACAAACCGTTATCTTAAGAAGCTCCTTACAGTCCAAAAGCTCCTTGACCTTGGTACCGTATGTCAAGTCAACCAAGACCGAAGTCTGGAAAAGCTTCGCAGGAGTGAAACCGGCGAACACGAACCACCTGGTTGAACGATACTTGCTTTTTAAGCCTTCCTCTCCCTCCAAACCCACCCTCACTCCCACTCCCACTCCCACCCCCATCCCCCAGCGATAAACACGACTTGACAGGGCTCTTCGGAGGAAAAGGGCTTTGTGTTTCTGCCGACTCATGCCCATCTGCATTCCTGTCCTGCCTGGCGCCCGCTCTCCCTCCCACCTCACCTCCAAGCCTTGCATTTGCTCCTAACAACAGCCCATCTGGGGATTCTGGCCTTCCAGTATGTGTGCCTTGAAGTGGAATGCAGTGTTTGTCTTGTAGTGGAATGCAGCCTTCACTCTGCGACTTTTTCAAGTGCCGCGTGTCCTGGCTGATGCTTATCAAGGGGTGTGCTGCATCTTGGTGCGTCCCTGTCAACCGCTCTGCATCTTGGTGTAACCCTGTCAACCGCTGTGCATCTTGATGCATCCCTGTCAACCGCTGTGCATCTTGCTCCACCCTCGAGCTGCCTGGGACTGAGAGAGGCTGGAGCATCAAGGAATGGGCCCGGGGCACAAGTCCCTCTCTTCGCCCACCCCCTTCACCAACTCCCTCTCTCCCTCTCCGGTTTCCACGAAAATTCTGGAATTTCCCCTCCTGAGGCGCCTCAGAAACAGAGGAAGGGAAAGCGGGTGTCTCGCTAACCCCCCTACCAAATCCACCCTTTTGGTTGGCGCTCTGTCTCAGTAGCATTTCGCCCTCTTCACCCAACCTCTTTCCCCCTGAATTGTCAGCAGGATATGGGGCTCCAATGGAGGAAGAGGGGGAAATTCGAGGGGAACGAAAGGGGACGCGGGGGGGCTTGGATGGGGAGATGGGGGGAGGATTGGCGGAAGGCTCTGGGAGGATGAGACAGGGAAAGGTGGGGGAATGGCAGGGGGAAGCTGGGGACTGAGGGGAAGAGGCGGAAGGTTCCGGTTGAGTCGGGGATGTGGTAAGGGGAGGGGGGCGGGGGAAACAGGACGGGGAGGGGTTGTGTTGGGGGAATGGGGGTGGGAAGGGGAAAGGCAGGGGCGCATGGGGGGAGGCTGAGGGGGCTAGAGCAAAGGGGGAATCAGAAGGGGAGGGGGAAGGGGAAGGGCACGGGCCAGGAGTGTAGTCTGGTGGGGGACAGCTGCGGACGATCCCGGGGGCGGACTTGGAACAAGTCACGGGGGCAAGGGGAGGGGCGGAAGGGGGAGTGGCGGAAGGGGGAGTGGCGGAATGGGGAGTGGCGGAATGGGGAGTGGCGGAAGGGGGAGTGGCGGAAGGGGAAGTGGCGCGCTCGGTGGCGAATCCAGGCCCGCATGGGGGACAGCTGCGGGCGATCCCGGGGGCGGACTGGGAACGAGTCACGGGGTGAGGGGAAGTGGCGGAAGGGGAGATGGCGCGTTCTGTGGCGGATCCAGGTCCGGGGAGCGTGCAAGCAGGCGTGTGGAGTGTGCAAGCAGGCCTCGCATGATCATTCCTGCAGGAGCCTGCTTCTAAGCAACCTGCTTCTAAAGAACCCGCCTCGAAAGCTTCGAAAGCCCCCAAATCGCGTTCTGTCACGGAGCCTGCTCTACGGGCGGTGCGACGGTTGCCAGTCATCCCAGTACGCTCGGCGCGACTGCTAGCGCTTGCATCTGAGCCCTCTAACCCATCGAAGATCTTGAAATCGCGCTCTGACACAGACGCGGCTCTACGGGCGGTGCGATGGCGGTTGTAACGATGACTGTTATGATTACTGTGCAAAGGCGGGGGACCAGGAGGAGCAGTGGAGGCGCGAGGAGAGGAGGGGAAGAGGAGTCGGTCTAATCGAGGCGACGAGGCAACGCGACGGGTCAGCCCAGGGCGGGGGGACGGCGCGTGACGAGGCGACGGCGACGTGGGTGGATGCGGGGTATGCGGCGGATGGGGGGAATGAGGCGGATGGGGGGAATGAGGCGGATGGGGGGAATGAGGCGGATGGGGGGAATGAGGCGGATGGGGGAAATGAGGCGGATGGGGGGAATGAGGCGGATGGGGGGAATGGAGCGGATGGCGCGGAGAGGCGTTTTGATGCTGCAGAGGCAGCAGAGGTGCCTCGATGGAGACGCGCGGATGACGAGGAGAGGACGCGGCGGCGGCGGGAAGGTGAAGCAAGGTGGGAGAGCCACTGGCGGCTTCAGGGGAGGGCAGAGCAGGCGTTTGCTGATCAGCCAGCGCGGCTTCTGCTGCTGCTGTTTCTTCCGTTGCTTTACCAGTGATTTTGCTACCGCCTCTCACAGCCGGTGGAATACCTGTGGCCGCCGCGGAAGCGCAACCAGCGGCGGACCCGTTGGCGGAACCTGCGGGGGACCCATTGGCGCTGAGGTGCTTGCGCTCAGCCGTGGTGCTACTTTTCCCTCCCCCGTGGCCGAAGCGCAAGAGGGGGAAGCATCCGCTGCCAGCGTCCGCGCATCGTCCGCGACTGCTGTCGTCAGATGAGTAACCGCCAGCGGCGGCGGCGGCGGCGCTGCTGCTTTCCGCGGAGGCAGCGCCGCGGGTTCCCGCGACTGACTCCCCGTGATCCTTTGCGCCCCCATTGCCGCCAGATGCGCCTTTCTTGCAGCTTCCGCCTTTGCTTGTGCTGCCTTCCTTGTCCCCTGCGCTTTCTGCTGGGCGACCGCGGATCGCAGGCTCTGCGGCGGAAGCCGCCGCTGCATTGACGCGCCACTCCGCGTCCATCTCGAGCGACGGCGCGGCTCTCCGCCGAACAGCTTCCGCGTTCGGGCTGCGCACGGCGGCGGAAGCCGCCACCGCCGCAGCAAAACCCGCGGCGCCTCCGCTGGGGGATTCTTCCCGAACCACGAGACTAGTCACCGTCAGTCCGCGCGCCCTCCGCGGGACGACGTCTCCAGCGGCTGCGCGCGGACTGCGAGGCGGCGCAGCGGCGGAAAGCATTGGCGGAAGCGAGGGGAACGCCGCCGCGCCGATCTCGCTCGATCCGCTCTCGATGCGGCATTCGGCGGTGCGGGGACGCGACGGCGCCAGGCCACTGGCGGCGGATCGACGGTTAGAATCGCCGCCGCTTCTGGAACTTCCGCCGCCCCCGGGACGAGGCGGAGTTGACGAGCTCATCGCGGCGCCCCCCGCGACGATGCTTGAACCGGATAACTCAATGTAGGGTACAGTATCACCCGCAGAACAGGAGTGGCTCCGAGTCACATTGTTGCGTCGAGCCGCGGCATTAGTACTACTGCCGCCTCCCGGATTGATGATGTCACTTGCGCTTTTAGCAGTTGGAGTGGTAGGAGCACCATCACTACTTCTAGTAGTAGTAGCGATGACGTCACCCACCGCGGGAACCATGACGATAATGCTGATCCTCGTCTCGTTTCGCCGACTCGTAACAATCCCTCAAAGTAGTATCGTACTAGCTCCCACTGGTGCCGCCGCTGGTAGCAACGGCGCTGCTGCTGCTAGCAGAAACGCGGGTTCGTTGAGGCCCGAGCGCCTCCGAGGCGCGCGGCGGGTGTCACGCCGGGTCGTGCGAGCGCCGAAGCGCGACGATGAGAGCCAGACCCAAGTCAAAAGCTTTCGCCACCTCGACGCGCCACGATGATAAGTGAAGGAACACCGACCACTCAAGTACTCCCAGCCAGCCCGGATTGCGGCGCGAGTAGTAAATCAGCTACGAAGAAAAGCAGCGACCGCTCCCAAATCGAAACTGCCAAGACTTAGAAACGTGACTAATTTTTTACGAGCCAAGAGCTGCTGTCAGATCTACTACTGCTAGCGGCGGCAGCGGCTGCTAGCTAGCAATGTGCTATCTGCGTGGGTCCGTCTGCGGATATCTCGATGAAATGCCGCAGGAGAAACGGGAGGTAAAATAGTCAAACGCCGTAGCAGGGGGGATTACTCTAGCAGGAGCTTCACTCTACTCGGCGAAGCTGGTCGCAGGGACGAATAATCTCGCGCCAGTGAAGTTTATTTTCACTCCAAGGGGGACCATTTCGCCCCAGGGGGGGCTATTCTCGCGCCAAGGGGGGCTATTCTCACGCCAAGGGGGGATTATCTCGCTGCAGCTGCACGCTCTGCTGTGCTCGCCGCGGATAGACATGTCGATCGCCGTAGGAGTAGGCGTGTGGATGGGATTGGCCGTGACGAATGCCATTGATCTTACTGTACATGCGGGGATTCAACGCGACGCGCGGGAGACTGCGAACAGTTCAGTGCGTACAGTAGACAATCTACGATAGTCTACGATACACAACGAAAGTGCAACAGAGCGAATGCAGCGACGACTTGAAGATCTACACGTTGGTCGTGGTACCTGTTTCGCACGGGACGGAGGCTGCGACACACGCGTGAATTAGTAGTGCTGTATTTTGCGAGGGGCCGGTAGACTGGACTCGCCAGAGGGAGACGGAGAGGGTGAAGAGGAAGGCGAGAGGGAAGATGCAAGCCAGAGTGACGGTCTGTGACCGAGAATGAACGCGAAAGGAACCAGGGATAGGTCGTCTGTGACTTGGGAATGAACGAAGGCTGACGGAAGGAATGTCACGTACAGTATTCGCAGAAAGCCTTACCCAACCGTCTCGTTTTTTGATTGAAACGCCCTGGATCAAGTCCAAACCCTTTGTAACCGCAATCAAACGTACACTCTGGACGTGCCTTACACAGCGAGGGCTGACGTGAGACATTCGTGGTCGTGGTGCAGAGGCGGAAGTGTGGCGGCCAAAGCGAGGAACACACGAGTCACGACACGAGATCGAAGGGAAATTATACAGGCAGTCACAATGTTTCCCGTTTTATCACGTTTGGTCACAGGGGTATCACAAACAGTTCCAGTGTAGTAGATTTCTATCGCGGGTGATCACAGTGCTATCACGGATGGTCACACCTCGCCCCGAAAAGCTATCACGTTTGGTCACTCGATGAAACAATCATTAACTGATTTGAAACTACAAAAGAAACAGTAGAAATTTTGGGGAATTTCAACCTTGATTGCTTGTACCTCGCGCATTATTCTAGCCTGACATTTAGGGAACTGAAGAAAAACATAAACCCCTGTAGGATGGCACGTCCCTTGGGAGGCATCAACCCTAAACACCTTGCGACACGGTGTTTAGGGTTGATGCTCCCAAATTATAACCCATCCGAACGGGTTTTAGTTTTTTTTTGTCTTGGGTCAGAAATTAACCTTAGAGTTTCACCCGTCTAAAAGTGATATTCTTAGGGTCATTATGTATTGATCGAACAGTGGACAATCAAATAGTAACAAGCTATTCAGATATTTTTAACGAGTTAACGAGAGTTGTCGCGAAAGTATTTCGTAATACTACGGACAAAACGACGCGCGCAAGAAAACTTTGGATTTTGAGTTGATCACGCACTGTTACTGAACTTCTTCGCTCCCAGAGCAGCTACAGTGCTTCTGGCGCACTGTTACTGCCCAGTTTTAGCTCAGAGCGCAGAATTAGGTGCTTTCAACGCAGTTTTGATTTCATTGGTCGACACATGGCACATAAATACAAACCAAACCTATGGATACTGAGACAGCGAACAGTAACTATTTCAATGTTTTTTAGTGTTAGAAAATGTATATTTACCCTAAACACTTTCCGACTGGTGTTTAGGGTTGATGCTCTAGTGAGACAAGCCATCGAAAAAAAATGTACTCTATGGAAAGGGCATCAACCCTAAATTCCTTGCCGCCCGGTGTTTAGGGTTGATGCTCCCTCGAAAACATGCCACCCAATATGGTTTTATTTTTTTATGCCCGAAACGCTAGCGTTTGACGGTTCGGTGGCCGTCAACCAAAGCAGAGTTATCGGCCCATCAATTCTACGGCCAATGAAATCAAAACTGCGTTGAAAGCACCTAATTCTGCGCTCTGAGCGAAAATTGGGCAGTAATAGTGCGCCAGAAGCGCTGTAGCTGCGTCAGGAGCAAAGAAGTTCAGTAACAGTGCGTGATCAACTCAAAACCCGAAAACTTTCCTTCAATCCCTACAGTTACTTGAGGAGTTTCATATTTCTTTCGATCATTTCAACGAGTGACCAAACGTGATACATTTTCGCGGTGAGGTGTGACCATCCGTGATAGCACTGTGATCACCCACGATATAAATTTACTGTATTGTGACTGTTTGTAATACCCATGTGACCAAACGTGATAATCGGGATACAATTGTGACTGCTCTTATAATTTCCCGATATCCAGTGGCGAGCGGGTGGAGAACTCGTTTTGTTTTGGTTCAGCGTGCCAACTGGCAGGATAAAGTGTAGCATTCGGGCTAACACAGTTTCCCCACTGGCAGCGAGAGCACAAGGGAAGGCGTTTTCATTGAACACCTAATACACAAGTGGGGATTGCCACAAACTTCCCAAACCTTGAGAATGACAGGTGAGCAGGAAGAAAAGGAGTCGAAGGGGAGGGTAGGAGGAGGTTAAGGTTATATTAGGTCGTAACCGTGTACAGCAAAGCATAGAGTAGCTAGAAATATGGTCTACACAAACCAAAAGCCCAGAGGCGTACGTAGGAAAACACGTTATTCCCCTATCCAAGGATAGCCACCAGCTCAGCTGGGGAGCTCTTCTATGCTCAACAAAGGGTGGGAGGGCTAGGGGGGGCGGAAAGGGTCCCCAAGCAGCCAGGAAGAGCGGAGGTCTGGGTGGATAGAAGGGGTTCCGTTGTGGTCGAAGACGAGAAAGCGAAGTCGAGTGGCCAGCTTAATACGAGCGGCTGAGCGTTGTTGTTTTTTCACTGATTGTTTCTTCCTGCGCCATAAGAAAATTTTGAAAGCAATGAGGAACTTTGCCAGTATGAGCTGGAGGACTTCAAACCGGGAGGGGGGCGAATCTTGGAACTTGTGTTCACAGCGTGCGTTCCAAATAGCTTTTGTAGATGCCCCAACCAGAAGGCTCCAAGGGGCCACTTGGCCAGCTCTGGAAGCGAGCGGGAAGTGCACGAGCTCAGGAGGAGGAGAGCAGTGGAGGTGACGACGAGCGACGGAGGAGAGGGCGGAAATCACCGCGGGGGCCACCCCGCACTCGTAGAAAATGTGGGATATGGTCTCCGTGGGAGCGGCGAGGCAGAGTGAACAAATCCCACGGTCTGCGGCGAAGTTGAAGCGTGAACCCGAAGGGAGAGCGCGAGTGTAGAACCGGTACAAGACGTCGCATTGGAGGCTGGGTTGCTCCCGTAAAAAGTCATGGGTGAGGTCGGTGAGGAGGGGAGGAGGAGCGGGGAGGACGTGGATCCAGCGGGCGGCGTGGTCGAGGGGGAGTTGAGCATAGAGCCGGCGACGAATGTCAGCTACGCTTGGGCAGCCGTCCCGGAGGATGTCGAGCCGCGCGCCGAGCCCTGCACCTGTATGGAAGGGGCCTGCAAGCCAGGACCCGACAACGTGTACCGCACAGAGGGCACCTATGTGGAAGGTGCTATTTCCGATCGACGGTCGGACGATGAGTCGGTTGGGCAAGACACGGTAAAGGGAGACTAAGAGCGACGACAGAGGGGAGAAGGCCGTGACCTGGAAAGCAACAGTGGGAGAGGATTCGGAGTCTTCTTTAGGGACGAACCACTCCCCAGGGACTGCCGAGGGGGGAGGGGGGGAGCGAAGGGTTGACCACCAGGGTTTGGGGATGGCACGGATGAGTTCGCGCCAGACTCTTCGTCCAGAGGAGGAGTTAGCTATGGGAAACAGTGAGGTGAAGTGTTTAAAGGAGACCACACCAAGCGAGTGAAAGATAAGAGAGATCAAATGGCCGACACGGACCTGCTTAGATAGGAGGAAGTGTTCACGCGTGAGGATTCCGAAGGGCTTCCCGTTTGGTTTGAGAATGAAACGATTGAAGGCGGTGGGCTCGCCCATTATACACATGGGGACGAGGCGAGGTGGGGCAATGTTCGGAGTGATCTCTATTAATGCGTGTAGTTCAGCGAGTGCTCGACCTGTGATTATCGTTGGCAGAATGCCTGCTTGAAGGATGGCAGGGTGCGCGAAGAGACAGTGTGTGCCAAATGGGAGGCAGACGGCGGCTCTGGCTATCTCTTCTGATGGTGAGGCGCCGAGGCGACGGAGCGCGCGGTGAGCAGCTAGAGCACGGATTTGGGTGGAGGGGGCAATCGCTCCAAGGCCTCCATGGCGGGTGGAATTATACAGGAGCCGATTAGGGATGAGACGGACCGCGAGGCCGTGCTCCTTGAAACACGAAGAGGATAGGAAGTTCCCGACCAAGACGTCTAAGCGTTTGATAACGTCGGGGGAGGGGGTTTGAAAGCGGCCGGGGAAGGAGATGATAGAGTTTAAGAAGACCGACGCAAGTGGCTGTGGCACGAAGGGCGGCGAGGAACTTAGCCGTGCGTTGAACGCGAGAGCGAGTCGTGGACCAGGTAGTGGCGCCTGGTTGTGCACGTTCAACGTAGATGCCAAGAATGCGTTCTGCCTCTTGAGGAGTGCGAATGGGAATGGGGCCAGCCAGAAGGATTTGTTCCGGGGGGATATGAAAAGGGATTATTGAGCATTTGTTCTAGTTGAGGTGTTCTCCTGAGACTGCGGCGAAGGTCCGGAGGTGTATGAGTGTGGTCCCAAGCTCTCTAACAGAGGAGAGGAAGATGGTGACGTCGTCAGCGTAGCAGGCCATGAGACGGCGCTGCGTCGGAGAGAGGGGGAAACCCGGGAGGAAGAGAGATAGGTAGCACTGTAGGATTTCAATGACACACACAAAGAGGAGGGGGGCGAGGGGGCATCCTTGTCGGACCCCGGTTCGGACTGGGAAGGTGGGTCCAGCAAGGTTGTTAACGGAGATGCAGGTGGAGGTGTTAGTGTGCATGAGGCGAACCCAGGCGATAAACTGCTCGGGGAGTCCCACCTTGGCAAGCGCTTGGAAGAGGAAAGCTCGATCGACTAGGTCATAGGCCTTGCGGAAGTCAACCGTTAAGGCGAGTAGGGGGGTTTTCGTGATTGTGCTCCAGTCGAAGATGTCAAGTGTATCGTTGATCGTATCGCCAATTTTTCTGCTTTTAATGAAAGCGGTTTGGGAGGGGTGGATAATCAGGGGAAGAGCGAGTTGCAGCCTATTGGCAAGGCATAAGGCTAGCACCTTGTAGTCCGAGTTCATGAGGGTGATAGGGCGGAGGTTGTCGATCATAGAGGAGCTACCCCTCTTGGGAATAAGGACTGTGCGGCCTGATAGCATTGACAGCGAGAGGGTAGCGGAGATGTGCGGTGAGGAGAAGAGTGAGAGAAATGCGGGGGCGAAGCGGGTCTTGTATTGTCGGAAGAGCTCGCCCGGGATGCCGTCAGGGCCGGGGGTTTTGCCACGGGAGTGCTGGTTTAAGGCCTTGCTAATTTCCATTAGGGAAAAGGGAGCTTGCAGATGGTTGAGGAGTCTGGGGGGGAGTGAAGAGGGGGGGATATGAGCCCAGAAGGCAGGATTTGGCACGCCCGGGGTTGCTCCGCTGTAGAGAGACTGGAAGAATTTGGTGCATTCAGCGTTCATGGCTCGTAGATCTGAGATGGTTTGTCCATCTGGTAGTATAAGCGAGGATATTAATGAGTCTTTGATGCGGGAGTTGAGTCCTGCCAGCAAGGAGGAGGTTCCCATCTCCCTATGGCCCTCGACTTTGAGCTTTGCTTTTAGAGCGAGCTCGGCGGTTTTGGATGCCTCGTATTTTGTTAGTTGAGTGCGGGCTTTGAGGAGCTGTGTGGTCGCATCATGGTCAAGAGGGGAGAGGGCAGATTGGAGCTGAAGGTGGCTGATGAGTTGTACTAGGTGGTTTGTAGTGCTTGTAACCCTTTTGTGCTCTTCGTTCGAGAAACTTTTGAGGCTAAGCGTGAGGGCCAGTTTCCAGGCGTCCCATGCATTGGGGGAAGGGCGTGATGGCAGGGAGGGGAGGTGAGATTCGATTATGGTAGCGATTTGGGGCCGGTGGAGGAGAGAGGAGCTGAAACGCCAAGGTCGCGGTGCCATGGTTGGGTTGTCGAATGTGAGGGTGCAGAGGGGTGCAAAGGAGTGGTCAGACACGTCAGTTGGGGTCCAGAAGTAGGAGGTTTCAGAGACCCGAGGGATGAATGAAGTGGAGAGGTAGATTCGGTCCAGTCTGGAGGCCGGCGGGAGAGCAGTGCAAGCACTGGCCCGGCGGCCAAAGTAGGAAAAAACGGGGGCGGTAGGGTGGAGTGAGCAGTACACGTCGGACAGTGCGTGCGATAGCAGGAGATTAGAAATCATGGTGGCTTCGCTGAGTTCGCTGACTCGGTAACCTCCCCCTTAGACCGTAACCGCCCGCTACTTGGGAGGGTAGGAGGAGGGCCCTTTGTGTCTGGTCTGGGTTTCGGGTTTCGTCTGGGTGGGTCTGACTTTCGGGTGGCACTTCTATTGCGAGCACCACACCCAAACTAGAGTCACCAGGCCTCTGGATAGGATTTGGGGTACTCTTCCTCGTAAGGCCAACACCCAGCTGTTACTCTTTCAGTAAGGGTGCTTCACAGAAACTGCTCTTAGTGCAAACAAATCAAAAAAACCATGCTAAGTATTCTAGACCATAATATGTAGGGTGTTAGTGTTGCAGTGTGTTGAGTCATCGTTGTCATGTGGATGACCCAAGTTCGATACCTATCGCGATCGACCGTCGCGGGAAATGTGTTTTACGCGACCAATCCTGGTATCCTCTCTTAGATCGAACTCGATGTCGTCAGTGCTACTACACCACATAGCTCTGAAATATCAGTGTCGTACAATCGATCACTTTTTTTGGTAAGGGTCGAAAACAAAACCAGTCTTGTAAAAAAGGGTGCATCGTCAAACCCGCCCTTATAGTAAGGGTCATAAGGGTGAATCACCCTGATATCGAGAGGCCAGAGAGTCACGCATTTGCGACTAGGCTCACGATTTTACACGTCAAAATCCCAATCGAGTGAGGGTTCCTAACTTCAGGCCGTAAACCCGCACCCCATATCTGGTGCCCCATACTGTCCGTATCGGCCCTGGGTTACCGACCAGGTCCTTCCAAGTTGGAACTTTGGCATTTCTTTTCGTTTTAAACCATCCCTCAATTTCAAGCTTCACGCTGTTGGGAGTGAGATCGAATAAGCAGTAATCATTTAGTGCGAATTTAGCTTGTTCATAAAGTTTGCAAAATTAAACACAAGTACCGGTACGGTATATTTCAGAGGTAATATTATTCACTGCAGACAAAATGGAGCCCGCTCGAGTTAGAAGTTGCTAGTTTCGCCAGCCATCACAGCTGCAGTCACTCAAAAGTTGCTCCAACACTTGACGGGGTCACCACAACTGCACTCATTTTCTCTCCAGCGCATCTCCAAGTCCCCTTTCCCAGCCATAACCAATTTTGAGAAATTTAAAAAGTGACTTCTTTACCCAAAGGCACGAGCATCACCGCAGCTGCACTGCTCGTACTCTCTGCAGCACACTTTCCAAGTCCCCTTCACCAGCCATCACTGCTGCGTCCTCCACCATTGCCTGTGGGCTGAAGAAAATCAGTAAAAAGCACAGAGACGGACAGGAATTGGATTGCTTGAGAGATCGTTTCACAAGGTACAATATTCTGTTCTGCCCAGATACAGAGCACAAACATTCTGAGGCCCCTCAAAAGACGCCTCAAAAGCTGGTTGCGAAATCGTACCCCAAGGTACCGGTACATTCTGTCCGGATACAGAGCACAAACTTGTCCAGATACAGAGCACAAACATGTTCAGATACAGAGCACAAACACGTCCAGATACAGGGCACAAACACGTCCAGATACAGAGCACAAACTTGTCCAGATACAGAGCACAAACATGTCCAGATACAGGGCACAAACACGTCCAGATACAGTGCACAAACACGTCCAGATACAGAGCACAAACTTGTCCAGATACAGAGCACAAAAATGTCCAGATACAGAGCACAAACATGTCCGGATACAGAGCACAAACATGTCCAGATACAGAGCACAAACATGTCCAGATACAGAGCACAAACATGTCCAGGTTTCAGAGCACAAACATGTCCAAATACAGAGCACAAACATGTCCAGATACAGAGCACAAACATGTCCAGATACAGAGCACAAACATGTCTAGTACAGAGCACAAACATGTCCAGGTTTCAGAGCACAAACATGTCCAAATACAGAGCACAAACATGTCCAGATACAGAGCACAAACATGTCCAGATACAGAGCACAAACATGTCTAGTACAGAGCACAAACATGTCCAGATACAGAGCACAAACATGTCCAGATACAGAGCACAAACATGTCCAGGTTTCAGAGCACAAACATGTCCAAATACAGAGCACAAACATGTCCAGATACAGAGCACAAACATGTCCAGATACAGAGCACAAACATGCCTAGTACAGAGCAAAAACATGTCCAGATACAGAGCACAAACTTGTCCTGATACAGAGCACAAACATGTCCGGATACAGAGCACAAACATGTCCAGATACAGAGCACAAACATGTCCAGATACAGAGCACAAACATGTCCAGGTTTCAGAGCACAAACATGTCCAAATAAACATGTCCAAATACAGAGCACAAACATGTCCAGATACAGAGCACAAACATGTCCAGATACAGAGCACAAACATGTCTAGTACAGAGCAAAAACATGTCCAGATACAGAGCACAAACTTGTCCAGATACAGAGCACAAACATGTCCAGATACAGAGCATAAACATGTCCAGATACAGAGCACAAACACGTCCAGATACAGAGCACAAACGTGTCCAGATACAGAGCACAAACATGTCCAGATACAGAGCACTAACACGTCCACATACAGAGCACAAACAAGTCCAGATACAGAGCACAAAAATGTCCAGATACAGAGCACAAACATGTCCGAATACAGAGCACAAACACGTCCAGATACTTACCCCAAAAACATGTCCAGATACAGAGTACAAACATGTCCAGATACAGAGCACAAACATGTCCAGATACAGAGCACAAACACGTCCAGATACAGAGCACAAACATGTCCAGATACAGAGCACAAACATGTCTAGTACGGAGCAAAAACATGTCCAGATACAGCGCACAAACTTGTCCTGATACAGAGCACAAACATGTCCGAATACAGAACACAAACATGTGCAGCCGCATTACCTTTGTCGTAATGACTCTTACATTCCTAAAAATTCTAACACGCTTGTGGTTGTGCCTCCACCACAAACCTAGAAGGTTTTGTATGCTCGTTGTTGTTGTGCATTGCTTGCACTGTGAGCCAATGCCCTCAGCTGTTTTTGAGTCGACTCAAAAGCACTGCTTGTACTGTGAGCCAACGCCCTCACTTGTTTTCATTAAGCCCATGGTGATGCATCAGTTGCACCACATAACATAGATCGCCCTGATTAAGACTTTTGAGGCACCCCAAAATGCTTTTGAGACGCCCCTAAAGATATTTTGAGGCGCCCCAAAATGCTTTTGAGACGCCCCTAAAGATATTTTGCGGCGCCCCAAAATGCTTTTGAGACGCCCCTAAAGATATTTTGCGGCGCCCCAAAATGCTTGTGAGACGCCCCTAAAGATATTATGCGGCGCCCCAAAATGCTTGTGAGATGCCCCTAAAGATATTTTGCGGCGCCCCAAAATGCTTGTGAGACGCCCCTAAAGATATTTTGCGGCGCCCCAAAATGCTTGTGCGACGCCCCTAAAGATATTTTGAGGCGCCCCAAAATGCTTGTGCGACGTCCCTAAAGATATTTTGCGGCGCCCCAAAATGCTTGTGAGACGCCCCTAAAGATATTTTGCGGCGCCCCAAAATGCTTGTGCGACGCCCCTAAAGATATTTTGCGGCGCCCCAAAATGCTTGTGAGACGCCCCTAAAGATATTTTGCGGCGCCCCAAAATGCTTGTGCGACGCCCCTAAAGATATTTTGCGGCGCCCCAAAATGCTTGTGAGACGCCCCTAAAGATATTTTGCGGCGCCCCAAAATGCTTGTGCGACGCCCCTAAAGATATTTTGCGGCGCCCCAAAATGCTTGTGAGACGCCCCTAAAGATATTTTGAGGCGCCCCAAAATGCTTGTGAGACGCCCCTGAAGACATTTTAAGGCGCCCCAAAATGCTTGTGCGACGCCCCTAAAGATATTTTGCGGCGCCCCAAAATGCTTGTGAGACGCCCCTAAAGATATTTTGCGGCGCCCCAAAAGACCTCTGCAGGACCCCATGGTGATGCATCAGTCACACCACATAGATCGCCCTGAACAAGCTATCTCGCTCGAACCTTCTGAAGTCACGGCTTGCAAACAGCTGCCACTCACCTGTTTTGAATGGGCCCGTGGTCGTGTATGGATCGCACCACATAGACCGCCCTTCCCAGCACGTCCTCTAGATGCACGACGGAACCTTTCTATTCCTTCCCACACGCTTCATACCCCGACTGCGCTCACCTGTTCTGGATGGGCCCATGGTCGTGCATCGATCGCACCACATAGACCGCCCTTCCCGGCAAGTCCCCTAGATGCACGGGGCCAAACCTAATTGAGAGTGACCATTTTCACCCCCTCCCATGAGTCTCATGACCCCACCGTTCTCACCTCTTTTGAACACCACATAGACCGCCCTCCAAAGCACGTCTTCCAGATGCACGCGGCCAAACGTGCTTGAGAGCGTGACCCTTTCCACCCAACCAACTGCTCTCACCTGTTGTGGACGAGCCCATGGTCGTGCATCGACCGCACCACATGAACCGTACCCCCAGCACGTTCTCTAGATGCACAGGGTGACGCTTGTCACCAGCAGTCACATGCATACTGTCAACGGGAGTTGGGTGTTGGCCCCGTCCTCGCTTGGGCGGAGCCGACTTCGTGGTCGGATGTAGGGGTGCAGCCGACCTGCAGCAGTGGGCGGGCTGGTCGACGAGGTTGGTCGACCTGCACGGGAGCCATTGCATGGGCGCCGACTTCGGGAGGGCGCCAACTTCGGGTGGTCGACCCGGGACGTCGACCAGCCCTTCTGGTCGACCTGGGACGTCGACTTGCAGCTGGTCAACCAGGGGATAGTGGTCGACCTGGGGAGGTCGACTGGAGGTGGCCGTCGACTTGGGAGGTCGACCGGCACGTACCAGAGGCAGTGGTCGACCTTGGGAGGTCGACCGGAAGTGGTCGTCGACCTGGGTGGTCGACGGGCACGCACTGGAGCCTCTGGTCGACCTGGTTGCCCGGTCGACCAGGTTACCTAGGTGACGAGGTGCTGCGAAGGCTTGCGATGGTCGCCCAGGTGGTTTTGGCGAGGACGACCTCGGTGATGGTATCCCGAGGTCGACGTGGTGCATCAGATGCAGTCGTCAGCACGAGGTGGACTTGGTGTGTGCGCTGTGCAGGTGACGAAGCAGTGCACGCCAATCATCTACGAGCACCTGCGAAGCGGGTGCGATGCTGGACTGCAGGAGCAACGCTGGCACGCTGTCGACTTGCGCTGTTGTCACGCCGTCGACCTGCAGCGTTGGCAAGCCGCGTCTCTACACTGCTGGAGCGCGGTCGACCAAGTCGTGCTGGCACGCGGTCGACCGTGCTGCGCTGGCAGTCGACCTGCTTGCATCCTAGCTCTGATGTAGTATTTCTTAGCCAACTTCATTGTATCATTGTTGTCAACTTTCTCTAGTGAAACTCTTGCCAAATTGCCTTGTGAACTAGCAAGCAGTGTGTGCACTAGGAAAACGACTAAGGACCGAGGAACGCAGAGATCACACGAGCACCCGTGCCTAGCCCGCAGCCTAGCTCCCGTTGTAGTAGTTATCTCCGCACATACCGCACTCACGTGTTTTCAATGGGCCCATGGTCGTGCATCGACCGCACCACATGAACCGTCCCCCCCAGCACGTTCTCTCGATGCACGGGGTGACGCTTGTCACCAGCAGTCACATGCATACCGCACTCACCTGTTTTCAATGGGCCCATGGTCGTGCATCGACCGCACCACATGAACCGTCCCCCCCAGCACGTTCTCCAGATGCACGCGGCCAAACGTGCTTTCAAGCATGACGCTTTCCACCCAACCAAGTGCTCTCACCTGTTCTGAATGGGCCCATGGTCGTGCATCGACAGCACCACATAGATCCCCCTCCCCAGCACGTCCTCCAGATGCACAGGGCCAAAGGTACTTGACAGTGACCCTTGCATCCCCTCCCACATGCCCATGTCCACCTCACATGCTTCATGACCCCACCGGTCACCTGTTTGCAATTGGCCCATGGTCTTGCATCGACGGCACCACATATGTCGCCCTCCCTAGCGCGTTCTCCAGATGCACAGGGCCAAACCTGCTCAAGAGTGACCCTATCCGTCTAACCCCTCTCACATACTTCATTCCCACCCCACCGCTCTCACCTCTTTTGCACGGGCCCATGGTCGTGCATTGACTGCACCACATGGACCGTCACCCCCAGCACGTCTTCCAGATGCACAGGACCAAACGCGCTTTCAAACGAGGCCCTTTCCACCCAGTCAACTGCTCTCACATGTTTTGAACGGGCCCATGGTCGTGCATCGACCGCACCACATAGACCGCCCTCCCCAGCACGTCTAGATGCACGGGGCCAAACACGCTTAACAGCAACCCTTTCCGCCCCCTCCCACATGCTTTATGCCCCCACTCTGCTCACCTGTTTTGGACGGGCCCATGGTCGTACATTGATCGCACCACATACATCGCCCTCCCCAGCACGTCCTCTAGATGCACGGGGCCAGACGTGCTTCCAAGCATGACGCTTTCCACCCAACCAAGTGCTCTCACCTGTTCTGGATGGGCCCATGGTCGTGCATCGACCGCACCACATAGACCGCCCTCCCCAGCACGTCCTCTAGATGCACGGGGCCAAAAGTGCGGCTGTCCCACGCTTCCTGCGCACATCAAGGAAGGAGTAGTAAAACATTAGTATCAAGAGAAATCTCACATGGCAGGCGCACACCGCAGGGCCATGTGGTGTGTGGCTGCCCCGTGCTTTCTGTTGTACGTTGACGGAAAAACGAAGCGTAGACATGATCAATCGAGGCGAGTTTTAGCTCGACTCGCTGGCTCGACTCGACTTTAGGTCGAGTCGAGTCAGTTATTTTATTTTCCTGACTCGAGTAGAGTCGAGTCGAGTCGAATTGAGGAGAAATCTCGATGCATCGCCCGACTCGACTTTGGACAGTCTAGTGGGCCACGAGTCGGCGAGCCAGCTGACTCGATTCGAGCTGGGCTGACTCGAGGGTCACCAATTCTATCCACGTGGATTCCCGTTGTCAATCCCCCCTCCTTTCCTCATGCAATTTCCCCCGTCACTGAATCTCCAACCATCACGCAATTTCCGCTCAACACGCAAATCCCCCCCGTCACCCAATTTCCGCCTGTCACGCAAATTCCCCCGTCACCCAATTTCCGCCTGTCACGCAAATTCCTCCGTCACCCAATTTCCGTCTGTCACGCAAATTTCCCCCGTCACCCATTTCCCCCCCCACGCCACTCACACAATTTTGGGTGCGCGTCAATTTACCTGTGCGGAAAGGGGAGGGGACGGAACTTCGTCATTCCTACCTTGCATGCCAGCTACGAATCACGAGGCGACTTTTGGGGCCCTTGAAAATTTTCAAAGGATAAGTCGAGTCAAGACTGACTCGCGAGTTGATGACTCGTGCTCGAGTCAAGGCCTGACTCTACTTCAGAAGTCGAGCACGAGTCCGCAGTATAAAAAAACTGACTCGACTATGGCTCGGCTCGACTCGACTCGACGCAACTCCCGACTCGACCGCGAATCGAGGTGACTCGACTCGACTCGACTCGTGATCATGTCTAACGAAGCGCATATGCAGGAGACTTTTCACAGGGCACTCTCACAGGCCACTCCCAAAGGCCATTCTCACAGGACGCTCTCAAAGGCCATTCTCACAGGCCACCCTCACAGCAACATACTTTTGCAGGAACATCGGGGTTGTCTGCAACCACCCAAAACTGGTCCTTTCTTCTGTAGGTTGATTGAGGCAATTGTCATAACCAACCAGTTGCTTTTCCAAGCACCCAAAACTGGTCCTTTCTTTTGTAGGTTGATTGAGACAATTGTCATAACCAACCTGTTGCTTTTCCAAAACCCTCGATTGAGCATACCTCTGCAGGAACATCGGGGTTGTCTGCAAGAACCCAGAAGTGATTCGGCTCTATCCGGATCGGCTCATCCGACGGCTGAGACGACACGATCTCGTCCCCAGCAACGGCTGCAACTCGCCGAAACACAGCGGTGGGCTTTTCTCTCATGGTGGTGTTACAAGGCTCTGCTGCAACGATGGTGCTGCTGCTGCTGCTGCGACTTGCTGAAAGCTCTGCTGGTGCATGCGCGTTGACGGATATGGTATGCGAGTAAAGACTTGTGGCTGCATGGGCGCTGAGTTGGGCTCTAGATGGCACACTGGTCGTGGTTGTGGTTGGGCCCTCCAGGCTCACACACAAAACGTCCCCCACATGGACCTTACCGCAGGGGAGAAAGAGAGATGGAAAGGAATTGAGAAGGGTTGAGATGGGATTTAACGAAGAGGTGAGACAGTGAGAGGTTCATAGAAAGAGCTGGCCTATCTGGGACGAAGAATCATGCGAGTATGGTTGGAAACCTCAAAATCGACTTGGTTAATTTGAAACTCTGTAGTGGTTGGAGCCTGGAGGACATTGCAACTGATGCGCGACACTGCTTTAGAGAATTCTCAGAACCTGCTTCTGAGAATTCTTAGAATCCGAGTCGCTTTAAGAATTCTCAGAATCGACTTGGTGGACTTGAAACCCAGTAAGCGTATGTATGTGGGCAATGGATGTGTGCATGCTTACACGGGCCACTGTATGTATGTGTGCACCTACCTACACATGCCATCAAGTGTATGTGTGCATGCTTACATGGGTTTAGGGATCTATGTGTTCATGCTTACATGCGTTTAGCCTTTAGGAGTGTACCTGTGCAGGCTTACACGAGTTCAGAGATGTATGTGTGCATCTCTGCATGTGCATCCCTGGATGTATTTGTGCATGCTTACACGGAACGGGGCAGCAGAACCCGATGGAGCACCCACTCGTCCTTTAACCCCTTTATAGTCGGCTTCATGGCCTCGCTTCCGGCCACTGACGCCTCAAGCTGTGTTATAAGTGGGAACCTTTCCTTCATCCCAAGAGCGATGAATTTCATCCAGTTATAAAGTGGCAGCTCCCCTCGTGGATTCCTTGAGTAATAGTACTAACAAGAAAAAACAGAAACGAAAAAAAGGGAAGACTTCTTAGCTATAGAATGGATTCAAAAGTCATCCAGTCCAGTTATAGAGTGGCAGCTCGCCTCTTGGGTTATTCTGGTAGAAAGCCTGAAGAGCGAGAGAGGCGAGACATGGGGGAAAGCGGGAGCATCAATGGAGAAACAAGGGTGAAACAAAAGCTGCGTTACAGAGGAGGGAATCTTTCCTTATCCCAGGAGCAATGAACTTCATCCAGTTATAGAGTGGCAGCTCGCCTCTTGGGTTCTTCTGGTAGAAAGCCTGAAGAGCGAGAGAGGCGAGACATGGGGGAAATCGGGAGCATCAATGGAGAAACAAGGGTGAAACAAAAGCTGCGTTACAGAGGGAATCTTTCCTTATCCCAGGAGCAATGAACTTCATCCAGTTATAGAGTGGCAGCTCGCCTCTTGGGTTCTTCTGGTAGAAAGCCTGATACGAGAAAACAGAAGAGACGAGAAAAATGGGGAACTGGGAGTAAGACTTTTGAGTCACCTCAATAGCCAACTAAGTTTCCATCCAGTTATAGAGTGGTAGCTAGCTCCCCTCTTGGGTTCTTCTGGTAGAATGCCAGGTAAGAGAAAGTGAGAAAGCGAAAAAAAGCGCGCACATATTGAACAGCAAGGACCTTCTGCTACACTACACCTACACATAACTTTCACATAGATGGAACTCGTTCCGAAATTCTCAAAAGCGAAAGACAAAAGCGAGAACTTGAGCCCTCTCCCGGTAATACTTGAGAATCGTTAGCACGGATGCCATGACGGGTGCTGTGTCGTGCTGCTGCCAGCACGGGATAGCTTGGAGGAGCATGCATGATGATAACTTACATGCTGGAAGACAAAAGCGAGAACTTGAGCCCTCTCCTTGTAGTTCTTGAGCTTCGTTAGCATGATGATGGGCGCTGTGCCGTGCTGTGCCATGCCGTGCCGTGCCGTGCCGTGCCGTGCCGTGCCGTGCCGTGCCGTGCCGTGCCGTGCCGTGCCGTGCCGTGCCGTGCCGTGCCGTGCTGTGCTGTGCTGTGCTGCTAGCACCGGGATTGCTTACACCTGCAGGAAATCGATTGATTGCAGCTGCTATTGCTAGCTTATGCTGCGCTTTGCTGCCTAAAACTCAAGATCTTATTCATCGCAGATACGAATGCTAGCTTATCATGCAAGCTCATCTACTAGACGCACTGACAGCGTTGACCAGCAGCGGCGAGTGCTCTTTTTGTCCTCTCTTCAGTTACCCTGACGGCTTTAGCTCGTCTGACTGACTGCTTGAGACGGAAAACGAGTGGCTGCTGCTGATGGTAGCCTCATCGCTTCAGCTCGTCTGCTGGCTGTACTCCGTGACAGCGTTTACCTGGTCTGAGTAGAAATTTGACAGACTTTGACAGACTAAATTCGTCTGCTGGCTGCACCATTTACTGACGAATGATTTTGGCGGATTCAGCTCGTCTGACTGACTCTGACGTGGTCGGCTTGACTGACTGACTGACTTCAACGGGTTCACAGATTCAGCTCGTCTGTTAGCTTCACTCCGGAAGCTTGTTTCCGCTCGTCTGACTGACGGATTCTCACAAATTGAGCTTCTTTGACTGACTGAATCCGAATTCAACTCGTTTGCTCGTCCCACTCGTGTCTAGGAAGCACCCTGGTCTGACTGACTGCGCTCTAACTTCGTCGATTATGCTCAAACCAGCAATAAAATCCTCATATGTTTTTTTTTTTTTTAGAAATAATTGCTATGCGAGCGTCTAGGGTTCTAAACAGGCGAATTTTGGCAGCCTGCTCGCACCGTTCCCCTCCACACTAATCTTGACGGCTGGACCTTTTTTGGTGCTCTCGCTCTCACTTTCCCAACTCAAGCATGTCAGCAAGCCACCCCGCTTCCGAGATCAGCGCAATGAACGACGGAATCTCCACTCGCGATAAGCCTACACGTGGTTACGCGCCCAGACAATGTAAGGAATTTTCTCGAATTCCTTATCGGGGTTGACTACTGCGCGTACAACCCGATTTTCGGAGTTCGCACGTTCGGGCGATTTCCACGCTGCCGAAGCTCCTCACGTCGCCTTCGGCATTTCCATCGCCAAACCTGCACCCAACCTCGCTCGTCCGAGGTTTCCTCCTAGCTAGGCTAGCCTACATTAGTTCTCGCATTCATTGTATTCTCAGATTCATTCAGTCACAGTCTCGTTATTCGTTTACCTGCGCACTCTCTTTTACAACTCATAACACCTGGTATCAGAGCTACTTTCCTAGTTCACCCCGCTTTTCAAGGGTAGTTTGGTGGCATAGGGTGTGGTTGGTTTAGTGACTACACGACGGTTGGCTGCAGAGGTTGTTAACTCAACCCTGCCCGACTCCGATAGTTCGTGTTTTCACTTGCCGGGCGGCCACGGGTACCCAACTGCCCACCAGACGTAGTGCTAGAAACATGGATCAGGAGGCTGTTAACCGACTGATGGCGCAAGTGGCAGAAATGGCGAGGGGCATGGAATCGCTGCAAGCGGAAGTGACAACACTGAAGGAGGAAAACGCCGAGCTACGCCGGACGCGAGGTGAAGCGCGTCAGACGTCGCCTGTGGACGAAGGCGAGGGCAACAGTCAAGTGATGGGCAATCCTCTGGACGAGCTCACACGCGACTTCGAAGAAGAAGATAGGCAGCGAGCGGCGGCAGCGCCAGTTGCAGTTACGACGATCAAGATCAAGCCCGTCAACCCGCCCCCGTTTAATCCTACGGACAAGACGACTACAGTGAAGGGGTGGCTGTTCGGGGTTGAAGTCTTCTTCACTGCAGCCGGAGTTAATGACGATGCCACGCGCATTAATTACGCAGTCTCACTTCTTCGAGGTGCAGCACTTGAATGGTGGCGCCGGACCTTGGAAACAGGGACGTCGACAGGTGTGACACATGCGGCAGACGGGACCTCTACAGTGGTTAATCAAGTTGCAGAACCGATCTTCGGTGTGACCAAGATACGCACATGGAAGGAGTGGGGCGCAGCCTTACGGGATCGCTTCGAGCACATATCCGCCTCGGAGCAAGCTCGCATGAAGCTGCGTGCATGGTCGCAGATGGGATCTGTCCAAGACTACACGGCGTCATTTATGGGCTTCGCCGACCAAATCGATGACATGTCGGAAGCTGAGCGGTTGGATAAATACGTGAGCGGCCTTAAGTACGAGATACAGTTCGAAGTTCGCCGCAGCCGCCCGACATCGTTCCTCGAAGCAGTACGCGTGGCAGAGTCAACGGATGCGCTGATGCAGTACGCGAGAACGGCTTCCAGGGATGGGAGAGGTTTTCGTGGCCAGACCCATCGGGCCACAATCAACGCCGTCCATACACCCGACCGCCCTCCTAAGGGTCAGTGTTTCCGGTGTGGGAAGGTGGGTCACTGGAAGAACGAATGCAAGGAGAAAATGCCGCTGACAGAGAACGACAGGAAGGAGCAGGGAAATGGGAAGAGTCAGTAAGTAGCGGGCCCTTTACTGACTGTGCTCCGTCGCCCGAACACCACCATCCCCACCGAGTCGTGGTTCCGATTCATGCAATCGATCGCACTCGGCCGAATAACGGGGATAATCATGTGGATCACCCTGTGCTGGTCGCTGGCAAGGTGGGGAAACATCATTTGAAAATGTTCGTCGATGGAGGGGCCAGCCATAGCCTCTTCAACTTGGCGAGCGCAAAAAAATGCAACATGCAACTTGACAGGTGTCTGCCCGAAATCGACGCACGACTCGTGGATGGGACGCCTCTGGCGATAACGGAAGAAACACGGATGGTGCGGATCGAGTGCGGCGAAGATTTCGGCTTCAGCATGAAGTTCCTCGCGACGACGCTGGATGGCTGCGACGTGCTGCTGGGACGCGATTGGCTGCGACGACACAACCCCGTCATCGACTGGACAACGGGATCGTGCTGCGTCAGCAAGCACGAGGGGCTAATTAAGTTGCCTGCATGGACACCTGACTACATACAAGCCCCGTGCGTCAAAGCCATCACCATCGCCCACCACTTCAACAGGGGTGCGCAGCTGTTCGCCGTCTGCTTGCGCGAGTTGGCAGTCGACACCGACGGAAAGGACATCGAAAAGCTGTGTGCAGCTGTTCCTCCGGATTTAGCGGAGCTAATTCGACGGTACCCCGACATTTTCCCGGACGATTTGCCACCTGGGCTGCCACCCGAAAGACCCGAAGACCATAAAATCCAGCTGGAACCTGGCGCGCAACCTACTGTTCGGACACAGTGGCGGTTGACCCAACCGGAACTCGAGGAGCTACGCCGACAAATTGTTGCACTGTTGGAGAAAGGCTTCATTCGGCCGAGCACCTCCCCGTTCGCGGCACCGATCCTGTTCACTCCAAAGAAGGACGGCGGGCTTCGCATGTGCATCGATTATCGCGCGTTGAACAGGGTGACCATCAAGTCTCGCTACCCAATCCCACGCACCGACGACCTCCTCGATCAACTTCGCGGCGCTCGCTACTTCTCGAAAATCGACTTACGTGGCGGTTACCACCAGATTCGGGTCTTCGCCGACGACTGTCACAAGACCGCGTTTCGTACACGCTACGGGAGTTACGAATTTACAGTGATGCCTTTCGGCCTCACGAACGCGCCTTCGACATTCCAACTGACCATGAACAGGGTTTTTCGCGATCTTCTAGACCGATGTGTCATCGTCTATTTGGACGATATCCTGATTTTTAGCAAGACACGGGAGCAACACCTCCGCGACCTGGACGCAGTTTTTAAAAGGCTGCAAGAGAACCGGCTCATCACCAAGGGCTCTAAGTGCGAGTTTTTTAAGCAGGAGTTGGAGTTTTTAGGGCACGTCATCTCCCGCGACGGCATTAAAATTGACCCGGCGAAGATTAAAACCATCCAGGAGTGGAAGGCCCCGACTAATGTCACGGAGCTCCAGAGTTTTTTGGGGTTCGTGAATTACGTCCGGCGGTTTATCCCGAATATGGCGGGGATAACCGGCCCGCTGACCGACCTGCTGCACAAGGACAAGAATTTCGTGTGGGGGGAGGAAGCAGAGGTGGCTTTCCAGGAGCTCAAGAATTTTCTCGTTTCTCCTCCTGTACTGCGCATCGCCGACCCATCAAAGCCGTTCGAAGTCGTAACCGACGCCTCTGATTTCGCCATCGGAGCAGTGCTTCTCCAGGATTTCGGGAACGGGCTGCAGCCGATCGCCTACGAATCACGCAAGCTGCAAGCTGCCGAACGCAACTACCCGATCCACGACAAGGAGATGCTCGCCATAATCCACGCGTTTAAACTATGGCGATGCTACCTGGTGGGCGCCGACGTCACTGTGCGCACGGACCACAAGTCCCTACAGTACCTGCGAGCTCAACCGAACCTCAACCCGCGACAAATTCGGTGGCTGGATTACATGGAGAGCCACTTCACCTACCGCATCACGTACAAGAAAGGGGCGAATAACATCGCCGACGCCCTGACCAGACCGACCGTACAATCCGCTGCTGTACTGATCACCCATTCGAACCCGCTACTTACAGGACTATTCACCCACGGCTACACTACGGACCCGTTCTTCACGACAGGAAATCATCAGCAGGCCACGACGCAGAAGGGGGATTATTACCTAAAAGCCGGCACCGACAGGATTTGGGTCCCCGCTTACCGGCTGCTGCGTGAACTCCTCATCCAGGAGGTCCACGATTCGAACTACTCCGGACACTTCGGGGTTGATAAAACCCAGAAATTACTGCACCGTCAATATTACTGGCCCGATTCCTCTAACGACGTGCAGCGTTACGTGTCCTCATGCAGGGTGTGCCAAGCCATGAAATCGACACGACAGCGACCAGCTGGGCTGCTGCAACCCCTCGAGCCACCCGAACGACCGTGGCAACAGGTGACGATGGATTTCGTCACGGGGATGCCAGCTGGGCC